CAAACTTCACAGTTGGCACAGTGCAGTCAGGCAGGTAACGTTCTCCCGGCATCCGCCAAACCCAGGCTCACCCATCCACCGCTCCCCAGTCCAGTGTTGGCATGCTTTACACCACTCAGTCCGACGCCTGGCATTGGACTTGGTGATGTCACATCAATTACATAATGCCAGTGGAAGCTCGTAACTCTTCAGCTGTGGAATCAGTCAGTCTCATTCATGAAAAGTGAGTAAATCTGTGTGTAGATTTGCACATTAAAGCCTACACTACTAAAAACCTACTCCGGATTCAGGAATGCCTCGGGAAACTCAGATTTGATCGTAATCACGTGTGTATGATCATGAATGCCAATCCATTGTAAAGTGACAGCATGCTCCCGGTAATCAGCAATTAGTATAAATCCCCGCCCATGAATATCCAGTGACCACCATATAAGGAGGTGTAGGTGCATCCAGTCGACCTGTCAGTCATGGCGCAAACAAAGAAAGAGAGAGAAAGAAAAAAGATCGAAATAATTTTGGGTGAAGTGGACTTAAGAAAAAACATTTTATTTTCTTCAGTCAGTAGTGGTGTGACAGGGACAGGCAAAGTGAAGGCCTGGAGGGAGGTAACAGATGCTGTTAATGTTGTCTCCGTGGTACAAAGAACCATGTCAGAGGTGAAGCGTAAATGGTTTGATATGAAACTGGAGGCAAAGAAACGCATAAGCACACACACAAAAAATACAGCGGTCATCAAACAAACAGAAGATTCATTTGTGGGGTTTTAAATGAAGTGGGAACGGGAAACCAGAGATGTTTTGTGCATAATGGAAAAAAGCCACAAAAAAACAAAAAACAAAAATGTGTTGTCTCAAATAATTCTTTCAGCTGGCGCGTTCTCCTTTGTGGCTCCACCACCTGCTGCTCCTGCTGAACCCAGGCACCGAGGCTGAAGAGGCTGTGATCCGGCTGTCCTTACGGATATTTTTATTATCATCATTCAACATGTAGAAAGAACGTGTAATCTATTGAGTCGATTTACATAGATAATTCACAATCATGAACCTAATCTGGATCTTAAACCTGCTAACTGCCAACTAATTTAACTGAATGTGTTATATTTTTAATATTTTGTCATGTTTAGATTACGTGTTTCAAAGGTATCTGTGTATTGTGTACATAACAGAGCGCAATACGAGTTAAAATTGTAATTTCCAATAGTGACAAGCAATATTTATGTGCTTCAGTGAATTTACACAAGCACTACGAGTGGTCAGGAGCAGGAGTAGATTTTGTTAGTAGCTACGAAAAGATCGTAGCTACTAAAATATTGATGAATGCGGACATGCACGTAAATTTCCGTCTGCGAACAGTTTACACACAAATTCCTTCTGGTCACGTTTCATGAATGAGACCCAGTGAGCGTTGGTGACTTCTACGCACCATGCGCCTTAGCAGTTGTTGACCCCGCTCTGTCATTTTACATGGTTTTCTGCTTCGTGGCTGAGGTGCTGTTGTTCCTAAACGCTTCCACTCTCCAACGATATCACTTACAGTTGACCGTGGAATATCCAGCAGGGATGAAATGTCACAAACCGTCTTATTCTTAAGGTGGCATCCTATCACAGTACCACGCTTGAAGTCACCGAGCTCTTCAGAACGTCCCATGTATCGCAGATGTTTGCAAATGGGAACTGCATGGCTAGGTGCTTAAAATACTTCTGTCCATATAGTGTACCTGCAGTATGTGTATGCAGTATAGTCTTTCATAATATTAATATATTTTATTTATAAGCGCATTTCAAGACACCCAAGGACACTTTACAAAACCAAAATAAGACAGCTAATATATAACAGAAGATAACAAAGAGCAACAACAACAGGAAAGAAATGCATATACAGATAAATGAACAAGTTTTCAGTTGTGACTTCAATGAAGAGATCAAGGTACCGTGACGAAGACCCTGACGAAGGGTATTCCACAGATCAGGTTCAGGAGATACCAGAGGAACATAGTGAACAAGTGTACCAAGTGTGTAGAAATGGAAAAGATTGGAAAGGTAGGGTGATGCCATGCCATGGAGAGATATAAAGAGAAGGAGGAGTATTTCAAAAACAGATGGGCTGTTTAACAGGGAGCCAGTGAAGTTGTTGAAGGGTCGGTGTAATGTGATCCCAGGGCTGCGTGTTGCTGCTGAGTTCTGGACATATTGCAGTCTATCTAACCCCCAGGTGAAGGAGAGTAGTGTTGCAGTAATCTAGTCTAGATGTTGTGTAGTCAAAAATGTAGATTTATTGAACAGTTTCATTGCTCATTTTCTTGCTCCCCGTTTACACAAACACCGCTGTAGTGCCCCCAAATCCCCGCCTCCTCTCACTCACTCACAGTGCCATCTACTCATTACTCGTCTTGTTTGCTCTATAGTTGTTTATCGAGTTGCACTTTAATGCAATTTGAATTTGTCACAATCTCAGAGGGTTTTAAACATTAGCACAAGGGCTGGGCGATATCGTCAAAAATTCATATCTCTGTTTTTGCAGGCTGAATGGCGATACACGGTATATGTATTGGTATTTTCTACAAAATGGGATACACGCTACTGAAAATTGTATTGAATATCAACATTTTTCAAAATTTCAAAACATTTTAAAGGGAGAAATGTCACAAAACTAATCTCCTTTCTGTCTGTGTGAAATGGCACATAGCTGTGCTCCACCATATGCCACACACCATGTTGTGATTAATGTGGTGTAAAGGATGAGGCTGGCAACATTCTGTGTTTGTTGCTGCCAGTAAATCCCATGAAAAGCTCAAAACATCTTCTGTCAATACTTTACAACTTACCTACCTTGTTTGTGGTACTAATTTAGCCCCGAGCTCATTTATTTCCGCTGATGTTGTAAATCTTTAACAAAAGCAGGTCAGAAATATCTTATTACATTTTTCAAGAAGGCGAGATGATTATCTGGAACAGCTGGGCACTGTAGTTCTTATCAAACATTACTCAAACAAGAGTAAATAGTGCATTTGTTGGGGACTATTTTCAGTCGCAGATTGAAACTCATTTGGTACGCTAGTGAGTATTTACAGCAGCAGGAGATATTTCAAATAAACTACAGTGAAATGTGTCAGCCAGTGCAGCAGTGTCTCATTGGCTTCATTTACATGCAAACTAATGTTCCACTATTATTCCAAATATTCAGAATGTAATACAGATTATGTAGCAGCATATTCTGTTTGTATCATCTGAATTAGGCCTTTTTCAGAATGTAGTATTTTCAGATTAATATATGTGGGATATGCCGGTATGATTCAAGTTTTAATACCATCATTTGGACATACAGTGAATTCGGAATATGTGTCCCAACTGGAGTTTTTACCGCAGTTTGTGATATTCAGAGTGCTGCTGCTAGGGTCCCGACAAAAACTAGGAAATATGACCACATTACTCCAGTTTGTAAATCCTCACACTGTTTACCTGTCAGCCAAACTCCCGCTGCTTGTGTATAAATCACTCGGTGGCTCAGCGTCCAAATATATCCCTGACATCCGTGTGACATATGAATCTTCTATGACTCTGAGGACATCTGGGGCCGGCCGACTGACCGCCCCAAGAGTCAGAACATAACATGGTGAGGCAGTGGTTTGTTATCACGCAGCACAAACCTGGAATAACCTCCCAGATGATGTTAGACAGCCTCGACTCTGAACACTTGCCTACTCCAACTGTAATGACTGCAAACTTATTTTTAAACTCAATTTTAAATCATCTTGTCTGCACTTTTGCTATTTTTAATGGTGATTTTTTTATTGTAAATTAGTTAGCTAGTATTCGCTTTGACCTTTTATATCTTTTTTTTTTCTCTTTACTCTTTTATTATAAATCTGTATGCTTTATTATATTTTATATTTTATTGCACTATAAAGCACTTTGAAATACCCTGTTTTTTTGAAATGTGCCATACAAATAAAGCTGCCTTGCCTAGACAGCCTCTTGCGTTTTTACGGTCAGCTTTGTGCAACTAGTCAAAAGTTTGCAAGGCTGGGGTAGAGATGCATGCCCAAAAACAAAGAGCTCACATTTTTAGTAGGAAATAGACACACCCCTACTTTTAAACACTATGAGATTCTTGGGTGTCAACAGGTTTTTGAAAATGCGCAAATATTACAATGCCGATCTTTTTAAGAAGGTGATTAAAGGAATGACACAAAGTGGCTGCATTTGCATAGTTGAACAAATCCTGTTTCAATGCACAGAAGCAAAACAGCACCAGGTACAGTCGGTACTACACTTTTGTATTTATTTTTTCAAATTCTCTTTTTATTTGTAGTTATTCTGGGTCCTGTCAGAGAGCTTCATTATACTCAGAGGGGCTTATAACCTTGTCTTTCCGGGCCTCCTGTAGGACATAATTACAGCAGGAAGCAACATAAAAGTGTGCTACAGTGTGTAATACAGAAGCCAAAATGGACTGATAAAGTGAATGTTAATATAGGTGTGATCATAGAAAAACTAAAACAAAAAAGAAGCTGAACTCAAGTATATGAACCAGAGTGTGGACGTGTGTCTTCATGATACTCTAATCGCTTTAGAGACAAGGATAAATACAAGATAAAATAACTCAAAAGGACATAAATTCACTTAAACAAATAAAGAACGAACAGGTTTAATGTACGCCATCCAATTTTACACTTATCCACATTAATCAGAGTTTGCATGGCTGCATTTAAACATGTGGAGTATTATTTGTCATTTGCCATGTGAACAGCTCAGTAGGAATGTTGTCTTTTTCAGAATAAGGGCATAAACCAGATAGATTTTGGACATAATAGAGGTCTGTGGCACAGAGGAATAAGATATACCAGGATTTGGCTCCAGAGACAGTACTGGTTGGATCAGTTCATTGTCGGTTTTGTTCTTTTCATTCGATTTGTTGACAGTAAGAAACATAAAGAATATCATTAGTTTTCAAATGTATCATTTTGACCAACATGTCTGTGCTCTGTTGTGTCCGTGCAGGTCAGATCTCATTGGAGGGCTTTGCCAGGTATCTAAGTGGGGAGGAGAACACCATCATCCCCCCTGAGAAGCTGGACCAGAGTGAAGACATGACCCTTCCCCTCTCCCACTATTTCATCAACTCCTCACACAACACATACCTCACAGGTACGCACACACATCGACACACAAAGCCTGTCTGCTCCCACATACAACCACTCAGCCCCAATTTCACTGACTGATTGCACATGCGCATCGTTTATTCTTCTACACATGAACACGTCGCTCGTTCATTTTGGCTGCGCAAGTGAATACCTCACAGGTAAGTCAATCAAACGCGCTGGTGCATATCAGGCCCCCTGTCTTGCGTTGCCTCTCCAGAGGTTATCCAATCAAGTCATGTCATGAGACTCACTTCATTGATATTCATGAGTTAAATATTTCTTTAGACTGGTAGTCACAGTAACTGGCTCCCAGCAGTGCGCAAGCATGGCAGGCACAATACAGAGGCCATTTTCTCTCGGATGGATATTAGAATTCATCTATTCAAATCTATTCTGGGGGGAACTGGAGAGCATTTAATCTTTCAAGTGGATCAAATTTCTCCAGCGATGGAAAAAATGGAATTTCTGTAATAGGCCAGACTCATGGCCTGCGAAATGAAGAAATGAGAAAAACAAACAACAGGTCCTTGATTCTCTCCTCACGAACACAGTTCTTCTTTATGTATTTTCATAGTGACACATTAGGATATTATAACAGGTAACAGAGAGGTGCGGGCTGGATTTTTGTCCTCGCACTGCTTATGTTTCACGACTTCATAATAGAAGATCCACGCGAGATAATTAGACCGACAGCAGCGTGTGCAGCTTATTCATTCACGCTGATGTATTTCCATTCTACTGATGCACGGGAAACCAAAGCAATGTTTTATGCAGTGTGCAACACATGACCTCATTTAGTAAAGAAAGTGTTTTCCTAATGGATTTAAACGAGGATGTCTATCAAAAGAAGAGAAAGAACGAGCGAGAGGGAAAATGAGAAAAGGAATGAAAAAATGGAGGGAGTGAATGATGCCAGCTGAAGTGAGAACACAGAGCTGCCTCTCATTTTGACACAGTTCCCACCATGTTGCAGGAAAGCGCACTGGTAATGTGAAAAGATAATTGCTTCGCTAATGGTGACAGGGTGATGAGATTTTCCTGCTTCAGATAACGACAGTTGTATTGTTATTACTGCATGCTAGCAGCTCATGCGGTTAATGAGCTCTTGAGAGGTGGGAGGACATGCTACTGTAGACTTCCTGGTTCCTCTGGGGTCAATACAGCAGTTACCTGAAGTGTTGTGTTTGTGTGTGTTTGCTTTCGCAGCCGGCCAGCTCGCAGGGAACTCGTCAGTCGAGATGTACAAACAGGTTCTCCTGTCAGGGTGCCGCTGCATCGAACTGGACTGCTGGAAGGGTCGCACCACAGAAGAAGAGCCCGTCATCACTCACGGCTTCACCATGACAACTGAAATCTCCTTCAAGGTAACACAAGGAGAGCAGAGTGATAGCGATATGAGCGAGGGGTTGGGTGGGGGGAGCACGGGCTGAGGCACGTTTCTGTGAACATGCATTTTAATGTCTTTGTCTACAGATACAGAGAGGGGGATTCTGGGTAAACGGACCTTGCGGACAGATGATGTAATTCACATTCTTTACACATGATCCACTTAATGCATTAAATACTGTTGAGTGTCGGGGGTTGGACCAACACTCACATCCCTCTGTGTTTTAATTACTTTGTGTTTTAGATATTTTAGGGTTAAAATGGGTTTCATCTTTATTTGTAGTTAATTATATTTAATTAACATGATTCTTACTCTTAGTGCAGACTTTAAAGATATACCATGCAGGATTGTCATTTACTACTGAATAAAAGCCAACCCCAAATTCACTTTCATTTGGCGTTGCACCTGTTATATTCATTTCTCTTTCAGCACTGTGTCTCTTGGATGCCTGCTGCTTATGGCAAGCCCTTTTAACATCTAATAGCTAGACTGGATATTCATTACTGATATCTGCAACATAATTTTGCCTAGTCAAAACTCTAATTACAGATATCGGTAATTCAGTTTTGACTAGTAAGATTCAAACTACTTTTGCCATTCATGTGTATGGGGTTTGTCATTATAGATATCTCCAATGCAGTTGCGGATATCTGCAGTTCTTATTGCGGATATCTGCAACTGAATTGGAGATATCTTTAATTCCAGTTTGAGATATCTACAATTTAATTTTGACTAGTCATAATTCATTTTCAAGATATCTTTAATTATCATCAATTGAAGATATCACATGATCCTTTCTAGATATCTTGAATCAAGTTTCAGCTAGTCAAAATGACGTTGTAGATATCCACAACTGAATTACAGATATCACCAATTCAGTTGTGGATATCTGCAATAAGAATTGTAGATATCCGCAACTACATTGGAGATATCTTTAATGACAAACCCCATACACATGAATGGCAAAAATAGTTTTAATGTTACTAGTCAAAACTGAATTACAGATATCTGTAACTGTAGTTTTGACTAGTCAGAATGACATCATAGATATCTTCAATTAAAATGCATACTAGCCACAATGACATTACGACTAGTCAAAATGATGTTGTTGATATCTATAATGGTAATTCCGGATAGTCAAACTCAGCGATTAAATGTTAAAAATGGCTTGCCATAGCTGCTGGCGGTCTGGCACCTGGTTGCTACCTTTTTTTTAAACCCTCACCTTAGGTCTGTCTGGGTACACGCCCATAAACGTTCTGAAAACCAAAAAAGAAAATAGAGGCAGAGGGCGGAGTCTCTGCATAAAGATACACCGCCACACACTTGGGTCATAATTGATGATTGAGATTGATGATTGGGATTACTTCTGTATGAGTCTATACATTGTTTTTGTTTTTGTTTTTAATGAAAATCCTGCATAGTATAACTTAAAAGTCCCCTTGAAATGGATGTTAGAGAGTCTTTATCTTCATATTTCCCAGTAAAACAGAATATTTTTGTGGTGTACAGTTACAAGAGAGATTTCAATCAAATCCTTCGCATTTGATTGGACCATGAAAAAGTGGGCGGCCTTAGAGTTTAGCGCAATATGAAGCTACAGTGTCTGTTGGCTCCACACATCTCCCTTGCCATTAGATCAGGAGGAGGACGAGGGAGAGATTATTGAATTACACCTCAGCCACATGTTTTTGTGGAATTGAAATTGAAGGTTTTGTCCACACACCTGCTCCTATCTCTCTCCATATTGCTCTGTTAGCAAGTCACTACAGCCCACAAGCGGTGAAGCGCGGTTTTATTTGAGGCGGTATGGCTAGCTAGTCGCCCAGTGTCGAATTTGATTTAATGAACTTTTGTAAATGCCCATGAGTGCAGGATGAGTCCTTTGAGAGGGCAGGGGTTTCGATGCAAAAAACCTCTGATGCTGATTTTTTAACGCATATTTGGCATGTAGGAAGAGACAAATGATCAATTAACACATGGACACAGGATTAAATCTGACAAAATGTCTTTTTTGTTGTTCAAGTGTGTTCTCAGCCATCTGTGTGAACATATGCATCTTCAAACACATGCACCCCTGCACCAAAATACATACTGTTTCAGACTAAAAAAATCAAAGTAAAGCAAACTGAAAGAGAAATATCCAGTAGCTTAGATGCATATCCTGTTATTGTCATCGTCATACTGTGGATGGTTGGTTTGGTCTGCAACATCATGCAACCTGCCACTTTAAATCAATGTGACGAGACGTTGTATCATCTCTACAGCAACAACTCTGTATTTTCATTATAACTTACAACTTTCCAGGTACAAGTAACAACTGAGTACTTTTTTTGAGTACATGCGGGTGACATACGCACATACAGCCAGCAGCAGCAGCAACTCACCAATACCCTGTGAGGATGGAGACCGACATACATGTCAACAGCCGCGGGGAAGTAAATGAGACGGGCTCGGCAGTGACGGAGGGCTGTTAGAGATTGCCGCAGCAAGCGAACACACCGCCTGCTGACAGATTGTCACTGAAATGACCAGCTGACTTCGCTACAAGCTGATTAGCTGTTGAAACAGGGGATGTCCCGTACATTGTAAACTTAACGAGCTGAGTCGCAGGCGGCACCAGCAGTGTATGTCGAGATGAGACAGACCAGTTTACATACTGCAACTTTTCCCTGTAACGTTCTCAAAGGGTCGAAAAGTCTTTGATCTGAACTGAACTTAAGATTTCAGTCCTGGTTGATTTGACGACACAGCAGGTGCAGTTATTGAGCAGCTACTTTGTCTACAATACAATGGAGGAACAAGTGATGTGTCTGTTTACAGAGCAGCCAAACAAACTCGCATTGTTTTTATAAAGACGTCTGTCAATAATAATTACAACCACACTAATATTTCCCACACAAAATGACACATCTCGTTCTGTGGAGATCATGTCAGCACTAACTGCAGTCACAAACACATTGCATTTTGTGTCACTGCTTCACAAAAAAACCCACCCTGTGTTTTGAAGAGCTTTAACATGAAGCAGTTGTAGTAGGGAATGTTGTTTGCAGTAGCAGTAACCTAATACAGCTCTGACACTATGTAAAGGGAGCCAGCAGTAGACAGTGTGTCTCTTATCAATGAGATAACATGGCGCTGGATTACATGCATGCATCATTTTCAAGCGAATGGCCATTGCGGAAAAAATGCTCACCATCAACAGTATCAGAAATCAGGTTTGATTGGTTTGATTTCATGAAATTCTTCAGGACAATAACCTAAATATATACTGTAGACGGACAGGCAGGCAAGTGCAGAGTCAGACACAGAAGATAAGAGTAAGCATGGAGGAGAGCAGAGCTGAATAACAAGTGGGATAAACAAAAGTGGGGCATGTATTCAGCAGATGGCAGATCGTAAAGGACAGGGACGCACTGAACGGCCCTAAACTGAAGAGCTGAGGGGCGCTTATTGAAGTCTCAGAAGATAAAAAGACAAAGAGGAAGATACGCTTTTATTGGAGGAGGAGGGTGTGAAAATCTAAGGACAGAATAGGTGTCAAGAGAAAAAGAAAGAGGGGGGTGGGTGGATTGATTGATAGAGGAAATTTAGTTCTAATGAGAGTAACAAAAGAAGTAGAACAAGCTTAATGGAATTACGCTGAGAGTGAAATGCAAAAAAGAGAAGAGTTTTGAGAGACGGAGGACAGAGGAGAGCTACAGATGGAGAGGGCTGAGTTACAGACAAAGATTTTTATTGGAGGAGAATGGAACAAATTGAAATGAAGGCATTAACTGAACTGACACCGTTGTTAATGATGGTATAATTGACTTAGACAATCACTGGCTTAGAAACCCAATATCAGATGTTGAACTGTCTTCACTGGAGTCGGGCGGCGACGCCACTTCGCGCCTCAGCACCCATTTCCGTAAACATATCCGTGCTGAAATTTGCGGGACATGAATGACTGAGCTCACAGCAATTTGCGATATACTTAACAGGATTTCCTTTCGTATAATCAAACAGAAAGAGCAGCATCATGTTGACATTCTGCACACACACGCATTTGATACACACTGCCGCATAACTCCTCCGGCATCAGTATCCTCAATACACCACGCAGCCAGATAACATGTTGCATTCGGAGTAAGGCGGAGTGTAATTTAGTTTTTGTACTACTATCTTATCAGTCTTGCTCTCTCCTACAGTTACTGATGTCAACACATTTGGGCATATTCTCTGGGGGAGGCTCTCAGGCATTCGAGGAAATGTAGGAAATCATATCACAGTAAATAGATATAACTCTGGCTGGTATGTGAGCTCAAGAGTGTTTCAGTATGTTTTATATTCTAGTGACTCCGTAGCATATTATTACAGAAACTAACAGTGTCAGTCAAAGGGCCCTGTTTAAACCCAAGGTCTAAACTGCGTAGAGCAGCGACATGTAGGGCTTCTGCTAGGTAAACGTTTCACAATCTGGGTGTTAAGAAAAGCAGGATTTATACTTGTGTGTCAGCTCGATGCAGAGCCTACGCTGTAGCCTACACACATGGCCTACTGTACGCTGTTGTGAGCATTTACACGTGTGCAGTGGTGTGTCTGTGTCACTCTGCTGTTACGCCTCCAAAACATTAGTTGGCGGTGGGGTTTCTTCTAAGTACTGTGAAGTTTAGCTGAGTCAAAACACACATTAAATGTGGCTTAATAGAGACAATTTCAAATACAAATACAACACGCTATTGTTTTTAGCACAAGCCTATGGCATTTTACATTGTATAAATTAGCCTAGTGGCTAGCGAACTTTTCCTCTGCTCATATGAAGCCAGGAAGCCTATTGCATTTTACATTGGCTTAGGGTATGGTGAAGGCTCTATGTCGACACAGAGCCTGCACCATAGATACGGCGTCAATTTGACGCATAAGTATAAATCCTGCTTAAGCATAGGGACAAGTGGAGATTTCCTTTGCTCATATGAAGCCAGGATAAATCACACACAAGACTTAAAATGCTGTTTTGTGGAGGCTTTATTGTGTTCACAATTTATTGTTTATTATCTGTGAAATTAAAGTAAATAAAAGCTTTGGTTTCAGCTCACAGAAACAGACAGGAGGTCTGTGATGCGTACTTTCATTTCTGGGGAGGTGCATGTCAGGAAAAGCGTTGATTGGACGCGTAAGTATAAATCCCGCTTAAGGCACAAGGGGCAAAGGGGTTGTATTTAATCCCTTAATTAATCATAGGTGTGTTTTGGGTATAACGTGAATTCAACAAATCAGTGTCATCTCCTATTCCCTTCCTATTTCCCTCACATGGCGGATTCAGCATATTTGAGAAGCAAGCAGTTTTCTGCTAAAAGTAGTGCAGAAAGAGCAGTAAAGTCACTGCAGCAAATATCATTGGACCTTTAAGCAGCAAAACTAACAATTGGAGTTATAAACTTGACAGAGGAAACAGAATTAAACTTCTGGCTTCTGAAATAATCAATGAAGTTATGCTGCTCCTTGTGTGTAAATGCACACAGCATCTCTTCTTAATGGGGAGTTGGACAGCAGCTCTGCTCTGCTCTCTGCTATGTTCACATTTTAGAGAAGGTAATTAATATTTTCCTCATTAATGATGTATTATTTTACCCACTCACAGCTCATCTGTGCATCCCTGTGCATATTGTGAACCTGTTGGTGCATCTTACTATCTTGCAGCCTTTGAATAGCAGGGATTATTGTTACTCTGGCTTTAGACCAGGTTTTTGTTGGTCAATTATGCAGTCGCCTTCTGCTGCCTCAAAATAGTAACACGCCAGCAACACTCCTGACCGCACCTCATTTTAAAACCTGCTTTGTGCCGTTGTTTTTAATGTGTATTTCATTACTCAAATAACAACAAAGTTCTGCCGTATGTGTAAGTGTATTCAGCTTAATTTATTTTATCAATTATTTTTCCTCTCTATTTGTGTTTTTAGGAGGTGATCGAGGCCATAGCAGAGTGTGCCTTCAAGACCTCGCCCTTCCCCATCATCCTGTCTTTTGAGAACCACGTGGACTCGTAAGTCAGCAGATTGTGTGAAGTCAGGCGTGCAAAGTCTACAGAATGAGTGCTGACTGTATTGATCAGCACAGTCCGTCACTGGATGGTTTAACATCAGTAGGCCCCATCAGCCCTTCTGTGTGTATCAGCTGTTTAGATATCAACTCAGCTTTTAAGAGAAAGATGTCATTGGTTGTTTTGTCTTTTAACGGCTCTGAGGGGCTTCTTAGGAACAACATCTAGGCCTTTAACGATAATGACGTTATCGACCTATCGTATGATAAATGGGCAAATGACTTAGATCATTTTGCTGACCTTGATATTGTCCGTTGTGTTTACATGGATGTTTGTTCACATAAGACTGTCACCAACATTTCAGCCAACGTGATGCCCAAATAATCAGGTTTCCCGGAGCATGATAAGACTTAGACACAGTGATTCTCCCATTTTTTCCTCTCCACCCCTGGCTTCTTGCACGAGTCCGAAGAAAACTAAAACAACACTTCAAATACAGTATAGCACAGTGTAGCTTACAGGTAGCCTGAAGAGGCACAGTCCTGATAGTCATTAGAATGCCAACCACTGGAAGTCCATCGTTTGTAGTTTTAAACTCCAACAACTTCAGCCTCCACTCCGTAAATCCAGCAGCAAGCTGCTCACCTCCCAGGCCGTCGATCCCCGGGAGCCAACAGCAGCACACTGGCAGGATTATGGAGGTAATTGTGATGTTCCCAGGGGTTGCTAAGCGTGGCTTTTAGCCGCAAGTGAACTTCACCACAAGCACTGGCTGCTGAAACAGGTGAAGTGCATTACATTCTAAGTTTATTTACTTTATTAATCCCCTGAGGGGAAATTCAATGTTCTAGTTTGACCAGCTGAGTTGCAGGTGACATCATCAGTCACCTGTAGTCTAGCTCAGACCGGCCACTTCACACCGTTCTAAACCGGTTTCATCTCATCGTGATTCTTTGGTCTGAACTGGGCTTTAGATTTAGGGGAGTTAATGGAGTCCATTGGTGAGGTTTACAGATTGTGACTAGCTGAAACTTCTCCCAGGTAGAATTTCTTCACCGTTCACTGTTCAGGAGGTTTTTACCGTGAGCTGAATTATCTGCAGAGGTCCCTTCTTCTTCAGTACAAACAGACCAGGTGATTTAAACCGGAAAAAACACAGATAAAGCAGTTTCATGAAAAAATATCTCTAACTACTTTGGCTGATGTGAAAACATGAAAATGTGAATGGCCCTATCTTGATCCAGTGTTTAGTTTCTGTAGACAAGGACCCGCTCCCTATGTAAATATAAATGGCTAATTTTAAGGTAACTAAAACACAACAGTTCTTATTTCATATATAAATTTATAAGTATAAACTACTGTTTAAAAAATGTGTCAAATATTTTTCTAAATTTGTATTCCAATGTCTGAATATTCTTCAGAATTTAAAGTACATTGCTTTTTGAAAGGGTGTATGTGCATTATTATATTATACACTCACTGGCCACTTTATTAGCTACACCTGTTCAACTGCTCGTTATCGCAAATAGCTAATCAGCCAATCACGTGGCAGCGACTCAGTGCCTTTAGGCATGTAGACATGGTCAAGGTGACCTGCTGAAGTTCAAACTGAGCATCAGAATGGGGAAGAAAGGTGATTTAAGTGACTTTGAACGTAGCATGGTTGTTGGTGCCAGACGGGCTGGTGTGAGTTTTTCAGAAACTGCTGATCTACTGGGATTTTCACACAAACATCTCTAGGGTTTACAAAGGATGGTCTGAAATAGCAGTTGCAACCCAGTAATAGCAAGGTGTACCTAATAAAATAGCCTGTGGGTGTATGCGATTATATTGTCATCGTATTAGTGGCATAAATTGGTGTCAAAATGACAATGATAATGTTTATTTTCAGTCATTTCTGGGACAATATATCATCCAACAACAGCAGTTACTGTGACAGGCCTTGTAACATATGTATTCCGTGTATATTTGTATTTAGCAGATAAACCATGATAATGAATGTTTGTGTTTGTGTGTGTGTGTGTGTGTGTGTGTGTGTGTGTGTGTGATGACTCCCAGACCGAAGCAGCAGGCTAAGATGGCTGAATACTGCCGGTCAATATTTGGAGACGCATTACTGACAGACCCTCTGGAGAAATATCCTGTGAGTACATAAGATGCTCAAACACACACACACATGTGCATGTGCTCACACATACATTCACACTTGCCTAGTCTCCCTGTTGCTCCCTCTCTTTCTAACACACACAGATGCATACGCCATGGCCAGCGGCGAGAGATTCAGCACAGATTATTACACAGATGAGTACGCCAAAGAAATGTCCTTGAACACTGCTGGCCAGCTCGCTGCCCATACAGATATACATTCGGGAGTCAAAAAGCCACAAGTTCCCGGACACTGACATATATATTAATTCATTCGTTCACACACACAGACACACACACTAATATTTGTCTGTGTCCTCTCCCCCTCTCCATCTGTCTCAAAAGCAGCACCATATCGACATGTCCTCTAGCACCTGGCAAAATGTGTTGTTGCTGTCTTTCCTCTTTCTGTCACTCCTGGCACGCTCCTAAATGGCCTCCTAGACTTTATCTCTCTGTCTCTCTCCGCTGTTTCATTCTCATTTTCAATCACAGACACACACACACACATACCTGTGGCTATTTACGTGCCATGGAAGCCAACTTTTAATGATTCCTCCCGCAGTCGTTTTTATTCCCCTGCACCACCTCTCCGTTATCACGGGGGAGACTGCAAATGACAGCCGTGTAAGATTAAATGGAAGTGTTTTACGCTGTAATCTAAACGTGGCTTTTCTTGGCAGCCCTTTATCTGTCTCTCCTCTGTTGCCATGGCTACCAGTCAAAAGCTTGCTTTGTCTCTTTGTGGCCAAACTCTCTTACCCCCCCCCCCCAAGGCGTCTTTGTGTGTAATGACGCAGGCGCTTACGTGAGGGAAATGTTAGACACTTGTCGCACAAACTCTTACGTGCACACTCAGACACCTCTCACAGTGTCGGAGGGGGGGATCACATGGAAACATATACTGTACATGCAATCCTGCACACACATATGTGATATCCACCAGGGATGTCTTCTTGTCCCCGCTGATATAACACTGTAGAGCAGCTTTAGTTCCCAGCTGCCTTCTGACTGGATTTGACATTGAAGTATTATCAGGGGGAAGCCTTTCGAATGGAGTGGCTGAGGGAAGGAGAAGGAGAGAGATATGAGGAGACAGACACCAAGGGAGAAGTTAGAGAGAGAGAGAGGGAGGGAGACAGAAAGAGAAAGTGCCGTTGAGGAATCAGATTTCTACCACTGAGCATGTAATAACTGGGAAAGGTGAGTGCAATGACAACCACTCCCCTCTGGCATGGAGACAGCCGCGTATACAGCGTATCAAATGGGATATCAGCTCCGTTAGTCCATAGGGGCAGGGGCAGATGGGGTAATATAGCTAGATTGGTTTCGGTTGAGCCTAAGGTGAGAATAAAGGGGATTACAGTTTTCTGAGAAATTCAAGCTCCTCTTGTATCTCCACTCCACAAAAAGTGTCGTCGGTGGTGAATAGGAGAGACTGGTGACAGTGTTTGTTTGTTTCAATTAAACTGAGAACAGTCTGCTCTTTCCCAAAAAAAATTAGCTGAAATTACTTAAAAATTGGATTCGCCATGAACATGCTTTCTTGTTTGTTATATGGCTCTCATCGCCGCATTCATTATGCTGATGAAGCCTGCGTTGCCAGAACGGTTTCATTATAACTGCTGAAAAAATATGTTGAGAAATAAAGCTGTTTTTCTTGCAGTTTGTTCAGTTTTGTCGAGGCTTAGTTTAAAGCTGCGGACGGTACCAGAGTTGGCAAGGCGAAATGCACTTGCACTCAGAAAGCAGGCAGGATTGAGAATCATGTGGGCAGAGGAGCAAGTATAAGATGTTGGAGCTAAGGTAGCTAGCAGGAAAACAACAACTTTACAGAAATTTAAGATGATACACCTTTAATTCAAGGCTACATTACTACATCACACTCCTTGCTTGCAGTTACACAACAACAGGCAATACTTCCACATGGAAAGGTTTATTCCTCCTTTTCTAAAATCGGCCTCATAATGGAAACTTAAATGACCTGATAATCTGCCCAAGATGGCCAGAGACAGTCAGATGTTGCACAAACACCTGAAACACATTGAATTTGAAAGGAAGTATTCGTATCTGTAACTTAAAGTAAGTAAAAGTGACAATACCTCAGTGTTAAATTACTTGTTGACAAGTCAAAGTCCTGAATTAAAAAACTGAGCATAGCATTCAGGCAGGACACAATGTCAAGCTCAACTCACACTTCCTCTACAAGCTGCTTTGCAACCCTCCTCCACCCCAGCTCCTCCTTTTCAAGCTGTGTCTGACTTATCAGTGTCATTTCTGTTGTCATTGATGCTGCTCTATTCTGTTCCCGGGGGGTCTTTGCTGCTGCTCTCCCTGCCTTAAAGTCCATTCTCACTGAGGGCGAATATCCGCGCGAATTATTCTCGCGGAAAAATATAAAAGTTGATTTCATGGGTTCTTATGGAAGTTTGCACACCGGGGCGGAACTTTCGTGCGGTGAAAAAAGTTTCCGCCCAGACTTTGACCCCCACGGAATTCGCCGGCGGAACTACACAGCTGGGCAATGAAATTGTTTGTTTATAGTCACACAGACTGGGAGAGTCCGAAATCCAGTCAGGCTTGACAGTGTGGGAGAAAGGTTGATAATTTCACAGCACCCTGTCCTTTTTGATAAAAGATGGGATGATTTTATGAACACTGAATTAAAGGACAACGTCTGGCAGTCCATTGTCCAGCTTGGTGGCTGCGGTGAGAGTGGTAAGTGCTAAAGAAAGTTGATGTTGACGCTTGTTAAACGTTAGCTTGCTAGCTCGCTGCCTCTGCTGCTGCTGCTGCTACTCTCGTCCATGTTCATCCGCACCCGTTCACGCAGCCCGGACTTGGAACACAACAATGCAAAAAAAACATGTCCATACCGCGCTTGTGTGTATGGTTTGAGCGCGGAAAGGCGCTGCGCGAATATTCCGCAAATCCGTCCCGCATTTCCGTATCGCGGCAGTGAAAATGAATCTATTTCATCCATCTAGGCACATGGAAGGGCAGGGAGGTTTGCGCTCTCTGCCTCAAGCTTTCCTTGTTTGTACATGGAAAGGGCAGAGATGTGCTCTCCCTGCCTTAGGCTTTCTATGTAGGCGCATGGAAGGGCAGGGAGGTTTACTTTCTCTGCCTCAAGCTTTCCTTGTTTGCACGTGGAAGGGCAGAGACATGTGCTCTCTCTGACGTAAGGCTTTCCACGTTGGCACGTGGAAGAGGCTTTCTGTGTAGGCCAGAGGAAAGGCAGAGAGGCCCCAGAACAGAAACATATCGCCAAATATAATACTGCAAATGGAAATAAAGTTTTCTTTTACTGACTGACTGAACTGTACTTTATTAAAAGTAAAAAAAAGTAAAAGTACTCATTTTGTAGAAAATGACACCTTTGAGTGTTATATTAACATTGGTATTTTTTCATCTACATAGCAATAGCAGGTAAACTGCCTGATTACCTCTGTACCTGTTTCTGTCTCAGCTCTGGCAGTTACCAGCTATGCTCCTCCAAGTGGTTGCTTTTTAATGTTTTGGGTCGATTAACATTTTATAAAAAGCGACAGCGTGTACAAATAGTGTTGGGGTTGACAGTAATATACATTTTAACTGTTCCTAAGTAATATAACACATAATCAACAAGATTTCAGGTGATACTATTATATTTAAAATATCACGTAACGTGTTACCACCCAAAAGCTGTTTTCATTTTTCCTTCATCCACACTGATCCACTTCCACCAGTGTGCCACCAGAAAAAATACTGCCTGAAGGTTGTTGTGTCATATTACAGACTACATTACACAAGGGTGCTGCCGGTGATCACATATCTGGGTCATGCTGCTCTGTGCGTTATCATGTTCACTGCGTTTTCATTCATACGCCTGAAATCTAATAATGCAGTAATAATAATGCAGGTAATGCAGTATATTATTTCAGTACGGCTGAAACTGTCTGTTACACTTTGACATTTTTAATACACTTTTACACTTTTAATTACCGACTTTCCGGCCTTTATCTGACTTCTTTTCTTCTAAAATTACGAGTTTAATCTTGTAATATTTCGACTTTATTCTGTTAGATTTATGATTTTATTCTCGAAATCCAAGATTTTTTTTCCTTTAACATGGCCCTAATCCTCCTTTGTTGTTATTGGCTGGGGGGCTACACACCCAGGAACATCCCAAACAATGCATAATAAGAAGAAAATCAAACATTACATCTGCAGATAAATACACCACCACACATTTCTAGGGTTCGTAGAATCATGCTTATTTTACTTTTTTTCCTGCCTCTATTGATGCCCTCATTTTACTTCACTCTACAAGTAAGCAAAAAACATGTTAAGTGATATTGAGGGGAAGAGCCTACAGTAATTGAAAAATCCAGGTAAATTGTAGATTAATCAAACAGGTTCAGTGCTGTAAATCTGAGTGCGGTCAAGATTATGTGTCACTTCCAGTGTTGTGCCACTTCCATTTAAGTGGAACTGTTTGAGTGAAGCCAAGGCAAACAGAACGCCTAATCTTTGGTGAATCACTTCCCAACAACAACAGTAGCAAGGTGCAGATGGATGTGTGTGGCAGCTGGGAAACTGGGCCATTGGATGGAAAATCTTGGCTCCAGTTTGGTGTATGAATCACTGCTCCACTGCTCTTTAAACTAAGTAAAAATAGGAAACCTTTTAAGTTTGGTTATGTTTATAGCTGGTAAGTTGTAAACTCTGTGTGTTTTGAGTGTATTCAACATCACTGCTGACTTCCTCCATAATGCATTATTAATATCCCTAAACACTGTCATCCAAAAGCAGTGTACCCCATAAATAAATCAGAGATCTTCCTACTTCCAGCCAGCTCCCACGAGAGGGCGAATATTTGTGTTTAACACTCAGTTTCCCCCCAGGAAGCTGATTTTTAGTGTTGAAAGTGTAAACTTTTGAGCTGGCACATCAACAGAGTTTGTAATGCTCAGTGCCGATCCTCACGGTAACTAACAAGCTCTGCTCAGCAGAATCTTCCAGGGTGAAGTTTGAGCAGGGTGAGATTTTTCTCTTTAAAAAAGTGCCATGATTTACATTTTGAATGACTCACTCCAGTAAACAGCTTCAGTATTTTCCTCCTGTAATTACCTAATTTGTCTCCAAACTGTAAAATATGGCCGTAATGGAGCAATCTTTAGCAGTATGGGAACATTTTGGGACTCGGCAATATTTCTTTTTAGGATTTTCCTTGTTTAAACTCTCTTTCAAGCCACAGAGTATTGCTTTACTCTGCAGAAACGTTTCTCATGAACTTATGCTTTCATCTTTCTTTTTCTAGACGACCTTATTATAATTATTTTGACCTCTCTATGTTCATCGCTTTCCAGCTGGAGTCCGGTGTGCCGCTGCCGAGCCCGATGGAGCTGATGGGCAAGATCCTGGTGAAGAACAAGAAGAAGCACCACAAGACAGATGGGAGCACCAAGAAGAAACTGTCAGAGCAGGTTTCCAACACCTACAGCGATTCTTCCAGTGTGTGTGAGCCCTCCTCGCCCAGTGCAGGTACAGCACGCACAGTCACACCCCACAAACAGAGCCACCATGTCACACTGGAGCCGCTGAGTTATGATGTTTCAGATGTAAAATGTAGCCTGACCATCTGGGTCCATCTGCAATATGGACCAGCACCTCTCTGCCGTCCAGAAACTGAATCACTGGAGCGAAACAGAGCTATTGTTTATCATTCATCATTTTCATGGCCCTCTCCATCAGCTGAAGGTATTATTGGCTGTTGCATACACTCCCTGTCAGACGTACACACTGTTAGTCACTGGGGCGTCTTAAACACGGGGCAGTCGTGGCTTTCAGTGTGTCGTGTGTGTGCATGCTGCTGTGTGTACTTAACTGTCTGCTGAACTTTTAAATGTCTCACTTTATGGGTTTTTATATTTTCACAGCTGCTATTTGATTTTAGTTTTTCCTAATCCTTCATATCTGTATTGGAGTTGGCTACACCTCTTTGTGTCCTTTATATCTGTGTGTATGCATGCTTCATTCTTGTATTTTATACTCCCCAGTATTTATTCATGTTTGTAAATTACGGATATCACTCAGTTGTAAGTTGTAATAGATTTTGCAATCAATTATCTGTAGTTTTCTTTGGTAGCTGAGCAGTGAGCTTCATTCTTACAGTAACACACACACTGCCCCCTGGTGTACAAAGATAAGCAGCACAAGTGGTTGACTTTTAGTCATGAACAGACAGGAACCCATATGTTTAGTTTTAGAGGTGGGGCACAATGACACCTGTGGCTCTTCAGACAGACAAAACAAACAAACAAAAAAATATTCTACAAGACATGCGGCTGAAATTTCTGTATGATCAATGGATTGAACCTAAAGCCTAGTTCACATTACACAATTTTCACCCTGATTTTGTGTCGCGGAGACTATCGTAATCTTTTGAGTGTTCATACCTGGCAACATGTGTTTCGGTCAGCGGGAGTCTCGCCAACTGCGTTACGACCTGTGTGTGCACACCACAACATTTCTCCACCGAGCCCTCGCCAACAGAGCCCCAGATAACGTGGTGACGTCACCAAACTACGTTTTTTAACTTGGAGCCTGGCTCCAAACACAACTCGCTCCCCGTGATCCTGTGGACGCCGCCATTGTTGTTGTTGCTTGCCGGCTTGTCAGTGTTGCCAGATCTTGGGAGAGAAACAAGCAACCAGGGCTATGGAAACAAGCCCAAAAGAAGCAACTATCATGCGTTTATATAACAAGCAAGCCGACATAAGCATCTCCACTTAAGAAACAAGCCCAAAGTCGCGGCTAATAAGCGGACCTGGCAAGTCTCAACCCTGCAGCTTGTCCTCCTCACATTTCTCCCGTCCTCCTGCGTGCTGACGTGGGACGTATCCCGCCTCTCATTGGCTGAAGCTCTTTGTCAGTCATGTCACACTTCTCCAGTTTTCTAGCATGCCAGATATCCAGTCCCAGTCACAGACGAGGGGGCGACTTGCTCGTAGGCTTGTTCACACATGAGGACTCGTCGTGGCAGACTATCTGCCGACTCACCTCCGACCCAAAGTGGCTCTCAAGATCCTCTGCAACGTCAAAATCACGGTGAAAATCGTGTAATGTGAACTAGACTTAAGATGTATTGATAGAGAACAGATTGATGATGTGAGATAATCCAGTAGTAAAGACAAAATAAAAAAAATGAAGATAAAAGTTAAATCAGAAAATTGCCTCTTCCGTCTTATCTTTAGCTGACGTTAAGTTGAGCGCACAGTGACTGCCGATCCATCCTGAGAGCGATTTGAGAGGCATTTTTGACATCCATTACTCATGCATCTCATAGAACAGATATGTCTTCATTTTATTTAATGTATCAATCCACACTGATTCCATGAGACACGTCTCCCTCATCATTTTTAACACTTCAAGTCAATTTTTTTAATTTTCTTTATTTAAATTTTTCCAAGAATTAAGTTTACAAACCGTAACATTACATAACAAGTCTGGTCCGGGAAAAAAGTGAATAAAAAAGAGACACAATAATGTGAGGTTAAGTAATTTTCTGTGCATCAATCCGATTCATATCCACTGCCCCCAATACAGACATATATCCAAGCCCATTTTATATTTAAGTCCGTGATTCCAATGGTTCCTTCCACTTCTGCAGAAAAAGATGAGACCTTCCATCAATACAAAATCCTATTTTTTCCAGAGTCACAACCTCAGATACCAAAGGTTTCCACATAGAAACAGAGGGAGGGTCATCCCTGAGCAGTTTCACCATGATGGCTTTCTTCGCCAGCATTAAAAGTCATTGAACAACTTCCTTATGTTGTTTAAGCGAGTCAGGGATATGTCCAAGCAGACATAAAAGTGCTGACACCTGTTGACCTGTTGCTTGCAATTTTTGTTGTTTAGTGAAGTGTAAATCTGCACAGACAGCTGTTTACATCACATACAGTACAGGCCAAAAGTTTGGACACACCTTCTCATTCAATGCGTTTTCTTTATTTTCATGACTATTTACATTGTAGATTCTCACTGAAGGCATCAAAACTATGAATGAACACATGTGGAGTTATGTACTTAACAAAAAAAGGTGAAATAACTGAAAACATGTTTTATATTCTAGTTTCTTCAAAATAGCCACCCTTTGCTCTGATTACTGCTTTGCACACTCTTGGCATTCTCTCCATGAGCTTCAAGAGGTAGTCACCTGAAATGGTTTCCACTTCACAGGTGTGCCTTATCAGGGTTAATTAGTGGAATTTCTTGCTTTATCAATGGGGTTGGGACCATCAGTTGTGTTGTGCAGAAGTCAGGTTAATACACAGCCGACAGCCCTATTGGACAACTGTTAAAATTCATATTATGGCAAGAACCAATCAGCTAACTAAAGAAAAACCAGTGGCCATCATTACTTTAAGAAATGAAGGTCAGTCAGTCCGGAAAATTGCAAAAACTTTAAATGTGTCCCCAAGTGGAGTCGCAAAAACCATCAAGCGCTACAACTAAACTGGCACACATGAGGACCGACCCAGGAAAGGAAGACCAAGAGTCACCTCTGCTTCTGAGGATAAGTTCATCCGAGTCACCAGCCTCAGAAATCGCAAGTTAACAGCAGCTCAGATCAGAGACCAGATGAATGCCACACAGAGTTCTAGCAGCAGACCCATCTCTAGAACAACTGTTAAGAGGAGACTGCGCCAATCAGGCCTTCATGGTCAAATAGCTGCTAGGAAACCACTGCTAAGGAGAGGCAACAAGCAGAAGAGATTTGTTTGGGCCAAGAAACACAAGGAATGGACATTAGACCAGTGGAAATCTGTGCTTTGGTCTGATGAGTCCAAATTTGAGATCTTTGGTTCCAACCGCCGTGTCTTTGTGAGACGCAGAAAAGGTGAACGGATGGATTCCACATGCCTGGTTCCCACTGTGAAGCATGGAGGAGGAGGTGTGATGGTGTGGGGGTGTTTTGCTGGTGACACTGTTGGGGATTTATTCAAAATTGAAGGCACACTGAACCAGCATGGCTACCACAGCATCCTGCAGCGACATGCCATCCCATCCGGTTTGCGTTTAGTTGGACAATCATTTATTTTTCAACAGGACAATGACCCCAAACACACCTCCAGGCTGTGTAAGGGCTATTTGACCAAGAAGGAGAGTGATGGAGTGCTGCGGCAGATGACCTGGCCTCCACAGTCACCGGACCTGAACCCAATCGAGATGGTTTGGGGTGAGCTGGACCGCAGAGTGAAGGCAAAGGGGCCAACAAGTGCTAAACACCTCTGGGAACTCCTTCAAGACTGTTGAAAAACCATTTCAGGTGACTACCTCTTGAAGCTCATGGAGAGAATGCCAAGAGTGTGCAAAGCAGTAATCAGAGCAAAGGGTGGCTATTTTGAAGAAACTAGAATATAAAACATGTTTTCAGTTATTTCACCTTTTTTTGTTAAGTACATAACTCCACATGTGTTCATTCATAGTTTTGATGCCTTCAGTGAGAATCTACAATGTAAATAGTCATGAAAATAAAGAAAACGCATTGAATGAGAAGGTGTGTCCAAACTTTTGGCCTGTACTGTATATTCAGCTGTATGTGTGTTTTGAACATAATTAAGCTGTAGTTGGTAACTTTTATAAAGACAGAAGAAGAAGAAAAAGAAGAAGAAGAAAATAGACATACTTTATTAATCCCCAAGGGGAAATTCAATTTTTTATTTTCATTTATTTATTTTTGTCACTCTGTTGGGGCATCGATGGCTTAGTGGATAGAGCAGGCGTCCCATGTACAAGGCTGTTGCCGCGGCGGCCCGGGTTTGATTCCAGTCACTGCTTGTTAACTGCAGTCAAATTGTCAAACTAGGCAGCACTGATCAAATAAGAATCAAGATTCTGTTACTGCGTTGCCTGTTTCTCACCTCAAATGTTTGCAGAGACATATTTTAGTGACTGTTCAGCTGTGAAATGAGAATGTTTATGACTTAGTGGTCATGATGGGAACAGGCATGCAAAAATAAAACATTGCCCACCTGCTGGAGCAAAACTTTCTTATTTTAGAGTTACTTATATTTGTATTTGCCTAGTTCGACAGTCTGACCACAGTTCATGAGCAGTGACTGACATGATTGAGACTCTAGCAAATTCTAAGCACTACGAAGAGGAGGAACAAACTGTAGCTTTAACCCTGTCTACTGTGATTGATCAAGGCTCCCAGTCTACGCTTACTTTGATACAGATAGATTTCCCTCACTTGCTACAGTGGGTGGGGAAATAAAATCAATGAGTCAGTATATAAGAACACTGCTGATTTCTTCCCATGGAGCTGACATGAAAACCTCTTTGGTTCAATAAATTCCTGCTGTCAGTCAGCGTGGTGACGGCAGGTTAGCCAGCTGCTGTCCACGCGGCTCCCCGGGAGCTGCTGCTGACAGATGGCTGAGACGTTTACGGAAGACAGATTCAGTCAGTGTGGACTGGATGACAAGACGCTCAACACTCACGTCTCGCTTCCAGTGAGGATTCTCAGAAACATTTGAAGGCGACATAGATGAGTGTATCATCAGTTTGATGAGCTCCTCTCTTCTCACATGCGAATTGTGGCTGTTTGGTTGTAGAAGGACAGTTTTTAATGATATTTTAGTGAGTGAAAGTTTTTGAAAAGTGAGGAGGACGTACCCTTGGATCAGTGTGGCTATTTCTGTTAGTTCATCAAAGCAGCTCATAGCTTTTTAATGTCATGTCTAATGTTACCCGGTTATGAAGCACTTTGTGAAAAGGTGTTATCCAATTAATATTACCATTTGTTACAGAATACAGAGTTCAGCAACACTTAAGATTATTCTCTACTGCATTTTTACTCAAGTTTGACCTTGTACTGTTGTGGTAGTTTGTTGCTGATGATTTTGTTTTCCTCACACAGGTTCGACCAAAGAAGAGATGGCAGATTCCTCACAGCCTTCAGAGGGTGCCGAGCTCAGCCTGAGGCCGCACGGCAGAAAATCTATCGGTGAGTCATGCGTAGTACACAACCTCAGATTCTGCAGGAAAGCTTCAGCCGACCTCCTCACAGGCGGGCTGCACACACTATAGGTCAGTTCAACCATTATGCCGCTCAAATTAATTTCCTCAGTCAGCGTGACCTCAGATTCAGCGGGAAAATCTTCAGTAGATCTCTCATTATGTGGGTGCAGAGGATGGGTCAGCTCGACCAAAACAATATTAAAATTAATTTCCTCAGCCGCCGCGAGCTCGGTGGGTTGGGACCTGTCAGCGTGAGGCTTATTTGTGTCTCAGCTGTGGATGTAATGGAGGCAACTGATCCCAGATAGAGACTAGTTAAATGGCTATCAGCTTTCTGACCAGCCTGTCCAACGTTCTGCATAAAATATGTGGAAATGTTAATTGAATTTACACACATTTAGCCTGGGTTCATTTAGCTTTATTTATGGTGTTTATCCGTGACTATGTTTGTGACTCAGGTGAGGTGGAGGCAGAGAGTGAGGATGAAGACGACGACGACGACGACTGTAAAAAAGGCTCGATGGATGAGGTGTGTATCTCACATTAAATTCAAATACTTGTAATAATAATACAGATCTACAGGGTGCTATTTGCATGTTATGTGCTGATGCTGCCCTCTAGTGTGTGCATATGATAATGCATTTTATTTCTTCTGATGTCTTGCCAAAGTCCTGAATAAAAGAGTTTATGGGATTATTTTGCCATGAAACATCCTTCTCATTGTTTTCAAGGATTAAAACAGACCCTTTGTTGCAGGTATACTATGCAGGGTTTTCCTAAAACACAATGTAAAGACAAAAGTAGTCTCTCTTAATCATCACTTATGACTCAGTAGAAGTGTGTGGTGGTATTTATCTGCAGAGGCTCTGCACTGAAAAAATGCAATTATAGCAAACAAGACTTTAACTTTCACTGGCGATAGTATTGTCAAACAGCAGCTGACACTTCCTGCATAGTATACCTTTAAAGCATTGTGCTGGATTACATCAGATATTTGTGTGTTGTTATGTGCAGGGTACGGCAGGCAGTGAGGCCTTTGCCACAGAGGAAATGTCCAACCTGGTCATCTACATCCAGCCAGTCAAGTTTAACAGCTTCGAGGCTTCCAAAAGTATGTGACACATAGCTGAAAACAGCTTTATGATATTGGAATAAAACCTTTTAAATATAAATGACAGCTCCACACATGAGCTCTGTAGAAATCACAATCTCAGTCTGAGTCACTGTGATCAACATATCACTATATCTGCCCACAGAGATCAACCGCAGTTACCAGATGTCGTCCTTCGTAGAGACCAAAGCTTTGGAGCAACTGACCAAATCTCCTGTAGAGTTTGTGGAGTATCCTTCTCAGTTTGACTGTTCCACTTAATATTTCTCACAATGTTTGAATCTAATTTGCATTCTGTTTGTCGAGTCATGCCTGCAGAGCACACACTGCATTACATCTAATTATATTCCTTACTGCTCTTCATCATTTCATTCATGTGGCATCATCTTGTCAAAAAGAAGTAATAATGGCATCATAATGGTTTACACAGTGTGATTTGAAGCTAGTAATTCTAGTTTTAATGTCGTGATACAAGTAAAAGTTGTAACAAGTATGGCCCGTACTGTCCGGAGTTACGTCCCACTAAAAGATTCAGGGCTGGTACACAGTCCTGTGAAAAGGGGCCAGCAGCTGCCTGACTAATCAAGTCTGATTAGTTGAAAAGATATTCAAAGGTTTAAACTCCTTGAATCAATAACTCATTAATGAAATGTTGTCAAAACACAGTTGATGCCTCTTTCCAACCAAAGTAAGGTCCTTTTGAGATGGATAAAAAACGTTGCTCTACGTGCAGCCGGCTGTGAGACGAGTGTGTAGGGTTTGTCTGCAGAGTACAACAGTGAAAAGTGATGCTAAACTATTCAATAACTTCACTCATGTGAAAGTGCAGTGTCCCCAAAATTCACACATCAGTGGTTTCCTGTCGGTTATACTTCAACACTTGGCTTTAGAAAAAGGCTTTCGTGGCATTTTGGTGAATGTTTATTGGTAAAAATATTCAATAACTTCACTCTTATACAGTGTAGCATCCCCAAAATCACTTCACACATTAATGGTCTCCTGTTGGTTACACTGCAACAATTAGTTGTTTTTTTTTTTAAAAAAATGTGCTTATGCATATCTTCGGGGAATTTTCACTGTAAAAAATATTCAATAAATTCATTTTTAAACAGTGTTATGTCCCCAGATATTCAATAGATTCAATTTTAAACAGTGTTATGTTCCCTAATGTTCAATAGATTCACTTTTAAACAGTGTTATGTCCCCTAATATTCAATAGATTCATTTTTAAACAGTGCTATGTCCCCTAATATTCAATAGATTCACTTTTAAACAGTGTTATGTCCCCAAATGTTCAATAGATTCAATTTTAAACAATGTTATGTCCCCAAATGTTCAATAGATTCACTTTTAAACAGTGTTATGTTCCCTAATATTCAATAGATTCACTTTTAAACAGTGTTATTTCCCCAAATATTCAACAGATTCACTTTTAAACAGTGTTATGTCCACAAATGTTCAATAGATTCAATTTTAAACAGTGTTATGTTCCCTAATATTCAATAGATTCATTTTTAAACAGTGCTATGTCCCCTAATATTCAATAGATTCACTTGTAAACAGTGTTATGTCCCCTTATGTTCAATAGATTCACTTTTAAACAGTGTTATGTCCCCAAATGTTCAATAGATTCAATTTTAAACAATGTTATGTCCCCAAATGTTCAATAGATTCACTTTTAAACAGTGTTATGTTCCCTAATATTCAATAGATTCACTTTTAAACAGTGTTATTTCCCCAAATATTCAACAGATTCACTTTTAAACAGTGTTATGTCCACAAATGTTCAATAGATTCAATTTTAAACAGTGTTATGTCCCCTAATATTCAATAGATTCATTTTTAAACAGTGCTATGTCCCCTAATATTCAATAGATTCACTTTTAAACAGTGTTATGTCCCCAAATGTTCAATAGATTCACTTTTAAACAATGTTATGTCCCCAAATGTTCAATAGATTCACTTTTAAACAGTGTTATGTTCCCTAATATTCAATAGATTCACTTTTAAACAGTGTTATTTCCCCAAATATTCAACAGATTCACTTTTAAACAGTGTTATGTCCACAAATGTTCAATAGATTCACTTTTAAACAGTGTTATGTCCCCTAATATTCAATAGATTCATTTTTAAACAGTGCTATGTCCCCTAATATTCAATAGATTCACTTTTAAACAGTGTTATGTCCCCAAATGTTCAATAGATTCACTTTTAAACAGTGTTATGTCCCCTAATATTCAATAGATTCACTTTTAAACAGTGTTATGTCCCCTAATGTTCAATAGATTCACTTTTAAACAGTGTTATGTCCCCAAATGTTCAATAGATTCACTTTTAAACAGTGTTATGTCCCCAAATGTTCAATAGATTCACTTTTAAACAGTGTTATGTCCCCAAATGTTCAATAGATTCACTTTTAAACAGTGTTATGTCCCCAAATGTTCAATAGATTCACTTTTAAACAGTGTTATGTCCCCAAATGTTCAATAGATTCACTTTTAAACAGTGTTATGTCCCCAAATGTTCAATAGATTCACTTTTAAACAGTGTTATGTCCCCAAATGTTCAATAGATTCACTTTTAAACAGTGTTATGTCCCCAAATGTTCAATAGATTCACTTTTAAACAGTGTTATGTCCCCAAATGTTCAATAGATTCACTTTTAAACAGTGTTATGTCCCCAAATGTTCAATAGATTCACTTTTAAACAGTGTTATGTCCCCAAATGTTCAATAGATTCACTTTTAAACAATGTTATGTCCCCATATGTTCAATAGATTCACTTGTAAACAGTGTTATGTCCCCAAATGTTCAATAGATTCACTTGTAAACAGTGTTATGTCCCCAAATGTTCAATAGATTCACTTTTAAACAGTGTTATGTCCCCAAATGTTCAATAGATTCACTTGTAAACAGTGTTATGTCCCCAAATGTTCGATAAATTCACTTTTAAACAGTGTTATGTCCCCAAATATTCAATAGATTCACTTTTAAACAGTGTTATGTCCCCTAATGTTCAATAGATTCACTTTTAAACAGTGTTATGTCCCCAAATGTTCAATAGATTCACTTTTAAACAGTGTTATGTCCCCAAATGTTCAATAGATTCACTTTTAAACAGTGTTATGTCCCCAAATGTTCAATAGATTCACTTTTAAACAGTGTTATGTCCCCAAATGTTCAATAGATTCACTTTTAAACAGTGTTATGTCCCCAAATGTTCAATAGATTCACTTTTAAACAGTGTTATGTCCCCAAATGTTCAATAGATTCACTTTTAAACAGTGTTATGTCCCCAAATGTTCAATAGATTCACTTTTAAACAGTGTTATGTCCCCAAATGTTCAATAGATTCACTTTTAAACAGTGTTATGTCCCCAAATGTTCAATAGATTCACTTTTAAACAGTGTTATGTCCCCAAATGTTCAATAGATTCACTTTTAAACAGTGTTATGTCCCCAAATGTTCAATAGATTCACTTTTAAACAGTGTTATGTCCCCAAATGTTCAATAGATTCACTTTTAAACAGTGTTATGTCCCCAAATGTTCAATAGATTCACTTTTAAACAATGTTATGTCCCCATATGTTCAATAGATTCACTTGTAAACAGTGTTATGTCCCCAAATGTTCAATAGATTCACTTGTAAACAGTGTTATGTCCCCAAATGTTCAATAGATTCACTTGTAAACAGTGTTATGTCCCCAAATGTTCAATAGATTCACTTTTAAACAGTGTTATGTCCCCAAATGTTCAATAGATTCACTTTTAAACAATGTTATGTCCCCAAATGTTCAATAGATTCACTTTTAAACAGTGTTATGTCCCCAAATGTTCAATAGATTCACTTTTAAACAATGTTATGTCCCCAAATGTTCAATAGATTCACTTTTAAACAGTGTTATGTCCCCAAATGTTCAATAGATTCACTTTTAAACAATGTTATGTCCCCAAATGTTCAATAGATTCACTTTTAAACAGTGTTATGTCCCCAAATGTTCAATAGATTCACTTTTAAACAATGTTATGTCCCCAAATGTTCAATAGATTCACTTGTAAACAGTGTTATGTCCCCAAATGTTCAATAAATTCACTTTTAAACAATGTTATGTCCCCAAATGTTCAATAGATTCACTTTTAAACAGCGTTATGTCCCCAAATGTTCAATAGATTCACTTTTAAACAATGTTATGTCCCCATATGTTCAATAGATTCACTTTTAAACAATGTTATGTCCCCATATGTTCAATAGATTCACTTTTAAACAGTGTTATGTCCACAAATGTTCAATAGATTCACTTTTAAACAATGTTATGTCCCCAAATGTTCAATAGATTCACTTGTAAACAGTGTTATGTCCCCAAATGTTCAATAAATTCACTTTTAAACAGTGTTATGTCCCCTAATGTTCGATAGATTCACTTTTAAACAATGTTATGTCCCCAAATGTTCAATAGATTCACTTTTAAACAATGTTATGTCCCCAAATGTTCAATAGATTCACTTGTAAACAGTGTAATGTTCCCTAATATTCAGGAAAATTCACTTTTAAATAGTGTAATATCTCTAAATATTCAGTAAATTCACTTTTAAACAGTGTGTTATCTCCAAATATCAATAAGTTGCTCTTAGATAATCCTTTTTTATGTGGCAGGAGATTTGTAAAATTGTTCAACCGTTGTCAGTCGATTTCAGTGAATTTTTTTTTCTACTTTTCTATTGTTATATTTTAATATTGAAATTTTTTTCAACTAGCTTGACGACATGGCCAAATGCAAGTATGATGCTGAATGTTTTAAATTGTGGACCTTGAATTGATGCTAAAAGACAAATCTGGACCCTGTGGCTGGACCAGTTGGGAGCCACTGATTTAAATAAATAATTTGCTACACATCACGTGCGGCAAAAAGTGTTTCTCATTTCTGTCTGCACCATACAGGCGTTAAAAAATTGAATGCATGTGTTCAGGGATGCACAAAGCTGGGGTCAGGAGGAGAAGGATCTGCATTAATGAAGGCTGGGGTAGTCTTACCAGCAAGAACTTCAATCTTCTTTCACTCCTGAGTAGCACTGAGTAGTTGAAGAAGTAACTGGTCATAGTAGAAGTAGTAACAGTACCAGTTGTGGTTTCTAATGCAGCATTGTCCTTAGCCAGCTCTGCTCAGATACAACAAACTGCAGCTGAGCAGGATCTACCCTAAAGGCACCAGAGTGGATTCATCCAACTACAACCCTCAGCTCTTCTGGAACGCCGGCTGTCAGCTGGTGGCTCTCAACTTCCAAACAATTGGTGAGGACGGGTAGAAAAGACATTTATATTACGTTCTTTGAATTACGTAGATCCTTTATTCCTACACACTTTTACATTTATTTTTAAACACCTAAAAAATACAACAAATAATAATAAAGTATGCATTTTAAAGTTTGTTTTATTTCACTGTAGTTGACTCACCTAAATAAACTTCTGTTACACTCTTCTCTCTCCACAGATTTGTCCATGCAGTTGAACCTGGGCATGTACGAGTACAACGGGAAATGTGGCTTCAGACTCAAACCGGAGTTTATGAGGCGGCCGGACAAACACTTTGACCCTTTCACTGAAAGCACAGTGGATGGGATAGTTGCCAACACGCTGTCTGTAAAGGTGTGTGTGTTTGGGTGTTTTATTTGTGTCTGTGAAGCTCTCTCTGTCTCTCTGATCCTTCTTCCTCTGTCTTGCTTTCTTTCCCACTCCGTCCTTCCAGATCATCTCAGGCCAGTTTCTGTCAGATAAGAAAGTAGGCACGTACGTTGAGATCGACATGTTCGGCTTACCGGTGGACACCAAGAGGAAAGCGTTCAAGACCAAGACATCTCAAGGCAACGCTATCAACCCAGTCTGGGAAGAGGAGGCCATTGTTTTCAAGAAGGTCAGACTGTGGTTTTGTGCATATACAAAGTGGTAACATTTTCACTTGAAGCTTAACATAAATACAGGTTTAATCAACTTTATTGGCCGTGTGTGTTGACACAAAGAAGGAATTGCTCTTCAGTTCTCAGTTGCTGCAGGGTATCTTTACACAGTGCGGAGAACAAATTTACATGCAAATTCAAATTCAGACACACATTTACAGCCTGAAATCAAAGCTGACACTGTTTCAGTAATATTAATAGTAATATAAAACCAATTTCTGAAAATGCACAGGCATATATAAGAGCATACGTTCATATACACACAAGGTAAGAGCTACAAAGTTTGAGCAATGGACTCATATTGAATATAAATAGAAATTATTTCCTTCAAAGATTGTAGCAAAGCAGGAACACAGTGGTGTCATCTTAATGTGAAACTGAGTGCACTTTATACATTTCCTTAGGTTGTTCTGCCCACACTGGCTTCAATAAGGATAGCCGTGTTTGAAGAAGGAGGGAAGTTCATCGGCCACCGAATCATTCCAGTGTCAGCCATCCGTCCAGGTGACAAAGTTTTGTTTCAACACAGTGCTTGTTGTCCACATTATTTTAAACATAAGTTGAATTTGATGATTAAAGGAATGCTTCAGTCAGTTACTCACCGCCTGTTACCATGTTGTCATGAAGAAGACTGTTTTTCTCACATGCCTCCATGGTGACAGAGGAATCCAAAATCCTAGAGAGGAAAAAAAATTTGAATAATTAAAGTCACAGTGATGAACTATATCAAAATATCCATTTACAAACTCTCACACATCTCGTGCAGTTGATTCCAAGTCTCTTTTATCCAGTGGTATGCTCAGCACTTCCCAAACAGTGCTTTGAACTAAAAGTGAAACTCAGTGCTCTCTTCAAAGCCAGACTCCATTGATAAAAACAGTACTTTTGCTTCACTGAACACAGGAGCTGCTGGTCTACCACTGCCTCAATCTGAAGTTTGTTTGTCTTTTTGTATGACTTTGGTGTTTTAAAGGGTTCGTTCGGATTCACCAAAGTCACACAATAACACAAACTAACTAATCAAGGCAGCAGTAGACCAGCAGCTCCTGTGTTCAGAGAGGTAAAATTACTGTTTTTGTCAATGGAGTCTGGCTTTGATTAAAGCATAGGAAAGTTTTACTTTTCGTTCAGTTCCCAAAAGTCCAGAAAGGGCTTTCTTTTTGGGAAGCACTGAGCACACGACTGGATAAATGAGACTTTGATTATACTGAGTTGTGTGACTTTGTAAACAGATGTTTTGATATATTTTTACTTTTGTTAAATGCGGACCCCCGTGACTTAAATTCATCGAGAGTTTTCTCCCTCTTTTTTGGATTCTTCGTTCAGTGGAAGCATCTGAGAAAAACAAAGTTTTCTTCTTTAAAGCTGCAGTAGGTAGAAAGCCTGATAACAGTTGATTTTTGAGTCTCGTCTGAGTTAGGTTTCGTTCGTCTCCGCCCTGAGCCCCTTCTACCAGACGAGCACACGAGTATTTTATCCTACTTGGTTCTATTTCTCCCTTTCTGGGAGCCTCGGCTCTGCCTCACCGCGCAGCAGCCCTCCCCATCCCTCCCTCGCGGCCCCGCACATACTCCCGAGGCTCGGCTCTTGCTCTTTGCGGAGAGCCCTCGGCTCCGCTCCCACGGCCGACCCTTGCGCCCTCCAGTCGGCCCCGGCCCCACCTCACCCTTCCCCTCCCTCCGGGGCTCCGTGGAACTGAGTTCTGTCTTCCTATTTTTTGGGTTTAGCCGTGTAGGCAGTTGTAGCCAATGCTGGAATAGCTATTTTACCTGGTGCACTGTTCGCCATTGCCGCTTGCTCTCCCCTTCTGCCAGCGGCACGGGAACGCGCATATGCAGTAGAACAGCCAATAGGAACGCATTGGTCTGAGCTGACTTTTGATTGGTTGATGCACATCGGCACTATACTGATTCTTTAGAGGCTGAACACAGAGCCATGGTGAGGTGCAGAAACCTATTGTTTGTCTCAGACCACTTGATTTACATTATGCTTAGAGGATATTATAACATTTTTACTCAATTATACCAAAACAATGTTGCCTACTGAAGCTTTAATTCAACATAACATGGCATGAGTAACTGATGTACAAATGTCGTTTGGTGGGTGAAGTAATCCTTTAATTTTACAGTTCTTAGACATGCTGAGAATACAGGAAATATGAAAAAGCAAACATAAAATACACCATCAGAGCCCATGAATACATAATAGAAAACAGGGCAGAGACAATACAAAAACATGTTATAAGCCGTGGGTCTTCACTGAAATGTGTTGAAATGTGTGGATGTTTTGCTGCACTATTCCTGATGTAAGTTGAATCCTTTTTTCTTCACTGACTGACCCTCAATCTGACTCTGCAGGCTATCGCTACATCAGTCTAAGGAACGAGAAGAACCAGTCCCTGACTCTGCCTGCTCTGTTTGTGTATGTAGAAGTGAAGGACTATGTCCCAGACACATTTGCAGGTGAGTCAGAGTTATATACCAAACCAAAAGTAAAGTGTGTTTCATCCAGAAAACACTGCAGGTCCAGAGTCGTGATCAGTGTTACCAAATAGCTGCTCTGTTTCCCTGCTGCTCCTCAGACGTCATCGAAGCCTTGTCCAATCCCATCCGCTATGTCAACCTGATGGAGCAGAGAGCCAATCAGCTGGCTGCTCTCACTTTGGAGGAGGGAGGAGAGGAGGAGGGCGACAAAGAGGTGAGTGTGTGCGCTCTTCTCTCCATCCCATGTGTGTGTATGTGTGTGCTCAAAATTGTGTATGTGTGGAAAGCCTTGGTCCACTGATCAGTTGCTGATTGAGATTAGCGCTCCCTCAGCCAGCTGGCTACTTGCCATGTTGTCAGGAACTAACTGGTTTAGAAATTTAAAACAGATGGTAGGCAGGAAAAGAGGATGCAGACAGAGTGGAGTTCCCTTTCTGTGGCAAAACCATATTAAGATTCAATTTGTAAAGAAGCATCGTGAGGAGGATTTTAATATCACAGACTTTAAAACCTACAACCATCCACCAGCTCCACTGCTCTGCAGTGAAAGGATGGATTATGACCACAGCTTGTTTCCAGCACAGATCCCCACAGATATTAACAACAGACTTTTGTTTGGTCCATTTTTCCTTCCCATTGCTTCATGATAAACTGCACTGCAGCCACAGCTGTAGCAGGGTTGTTGCTGCATTTCATCAAGCATCTTCCAGCTTCCACCTGCAGGCTCTGATTCTAGGATTCCTCTGAGGGGAGGTCTGTTACGTGACTTCATGTAGTTTGATGCTTTGAGGTGTTAGATGCTTGAGGACAAGCTTAGATCCAGAATGTCAAAAATCAGCATGATCTTCTACAAATCTGTTTACAAAGAGTGGATGTGCTGTAGTTTGAGGTTGACAAACCAAATCATTTGAATATTCCATGAATGACAGCACAACAGAAATAAAAATAACAATTCCCAAGACCTGGGGCCTGTATCACGAAGCAGGATTAATGTCTTAGCGAGGTAACTTCAGGGTTAACCCTGGGTTTTCGGTCTCACGAAGCCGGTTCAGTTCTTATCGGGGTAGATCACCATGGTAACTTACTCTGAACGGCTATCCTGCTCCGGAGCAGGGTAAGTTCAGGGTTGAATCTGATCCTATAAAAAGCACCACCCACTGGCCAATCAGCTGTTCGGAAAAAAATGACTCCGCTGACAGAAATGCAGCCCAGTCATGACGGGAAGTTTAATTAGTTTGATTGATTTTGATTTGAAAGTTTATTTTGAACATTAAAAAAGAAAAGAAAGCAACAACAACAGACAATGAAAAGATTGTTCAAAAAGGAGTGGAAAGAAGTGGAACTTTCATCCCACCCCTTCATAAGAAAGAAACTGATCATTTGCGGACACTTAATAGCACCATTAATTAGTGCCAACATTTTGTTTTGTTGGAGGAAATGATCCCTGTTAAAGATAATGGGCCTAATTGACAGCTTTGCTGCTGGAAATGTGGAAAGTAGCCTATCATGTCTACACTTCATGGTGTTTGAGGGATTTTCTTTTTTGTTTTTTAAAGAGGGAGACTAGGTATATTTTTGCGCAGCTGTTAATTTCTAACACAGCTCAATATCAGGATGATTTTATTCAGACTATCAACTTGGTGTTGGTATGATTTAGTTGTGTCGTCAGCTTTAAGCTTTATTGTAGCATATATAACGTTATGACAAAGAAGACCAATTTATCAGACGCAATGATGTTAGACGGTAATTGTAATACACGCAATTCATCTGCGCAGCATTGATTTCATGGGATTCAAGGGTGTGATCAGTGTCAGATGTACAGGTACAGGTACTGTAGCTACTTGAACCAGTGATGAGTCATTTAACCTACACATCATTTTATTTGCTCCCTTGTGTTGTCTTGATTTTTCCCTCTCTCCTCCTCTGTTTCTTCTTTCCTCACCCGTTTTTTTTTTTCCTTCTCTATTATGTGATTTCATTGATGTTTTGACAGGGGAATTTCTTTGATAAGCTTTTAGTGGCTTCTAACCTCTCCGGCACTTTTCTTTTTTTAATCTTGTAAATTTTATACTGTCTGTTTTTAACATTATGTGCAAAGAAACTAATCTAAACTAAAACTAAACATTATTCATCCCGTTATGCGTTGCCACGCATGTTTCCTCCTCCTGCAGCTGCCACGGTGTTGGCCTTTTCTGTAATGTTGCTTTTCTCCTCCTCATATTTTAGTAGAATTAATCTCTGATCCTCCTAGAAATACTTTTTTTCCCCTCACATACGGCGCTCTGTGTGGACGCTGTGTGAGGACGCTCTGTGAGGACGCTCTGTGAGGACGCTCAGTGACGCTGCGCTTCTCTCATGATTGTAATTGGTTCGCTGTGTGCGCGTTCACGGCTCTTGATAAAGCAACCCTGGGTTGAGTTACCGAGTTGATATCCAGCGTCGTTATACTGATTATCCTGATTGCCATTGTTAGGGTTAGTCAACCCAGGATAGGTCTGGGTAACCCAGGAAAGGTTGATCTCGCTTCGTGATACAGGCCCCAGGATGCACGCGCATGCGTGTCAGCTTGCTGTTGCAGTCTTGAAAATTGTTTCACTCTATTCAACTGATTGACAGTTAGTGGTGATAATGTGCTGAGCAATGTAGCAATGTGCCATCCCAGACAAGGAAGAAGAAGCACCAATAGCGGTAAGATGGATGTAAAAAAACTACACAAAATAATTTCTAAAAATTGTCTCGACATCTTTTATGAGGAAGAAAATGCATTCAACACATTTATTAGACTTCAGAATGCACGTCATGATAAACATTTTGATGATTGTAAGTATAACTTTGTTAACAAATAATTCTACCATGTACCTTTAAAGGGTACATTCAGTATTGTCCAGCCAGGACATTATGTTTCCATATTTATGTGTCTAACTGACAAATAGGAACAGCAATTTTTTAAACTGGTCCAGTATGAAGGAAAAGCGCTGTAGTCAACAGCTACAAAACAGGCTGCAGTAAAACCACTCGGGGCATGTTTGCATTCAGTAAAAGTGTTTGATTTTGCCACTGACAGGCTTGGATTGTTTTTCCAAGTGTCTTACAACATTATGGAAAGTATCCCTACAGAGATAGACCTCTTTGTTAAAGTGTAAGATCCTTTGTTTTCAACCATAAACAGCCCTGAAATTGCTTTCGCCAAACCCACCAGACTCCATTTACATAAACAGTAATTTAAGTGTGTATAGAAGCTGCATGTTTTCACATCTAACTGAGTGAATTGAGGGTTTATTCCAACCAAAGCAGAGTCGGTGACTGTTGGAACAGTGGAAAGATGAACCAAGACAGTTTTTGTGAGTTTTGATTTGTCTCTGTCCTCTTTAAATAAAGTGTGCTGCATGATGGTAAACTTACTGTTGATTCAAACGGGGTCTAGTGGGATTTAGGACAGCAATTTTGGGGCTGTTTCTGGATTTTAAAATATGATCTTACTTTTAATGGTACACTATATAGAATTGTCGGTGCCGGATTAATTCTCTTTTGGCATTTCGCCTCACTATACTTGAATTTTCTTAGCACTGTGTCTCTTGGATGCCTGCTGCTAAAGGTGTGGCTACCTTTTTATAAAGCCCCAACCTCACCTCAGTGCTTTGGGGGTACACACCCATCAACGTCCCAAACATACAACATAAGAAGAAAATACAGGCAGAGGGCAGGGTCTCTGCAGAAAAATACATCACCACACACAATCCTACATAGTTTGTCTTGAACTAAAAGGGTTTCTTTCTTATAATCAGAGTCAGTCAGTGGCAAAAACAAGCACTTTTACTGGACATAAATTGATGGTACAAACATGCCCCCAATGGTTCTATTGCGGCCTGTCTCGTAGTTGTAGGCAGTAGCCCTCTGCCATTCCTTTTTGTCACTTGGACACAGAAACATGGGAAAATAGGGTCAAATTTGTACTGCCTTACCCTTTAACTCTAACTCTGTCCAAGACACTAAGAATCTCTGGACTACTTCTCACATTAAAGGCACAAACTGACTAACTGCTGACTAGCTGAACTGATGTGATGTGATTCCCCTTACACATGTAATAAGCCAACTATATGAACTCGAACTAGAGCTGGCAGTGACCTTTAACTTCAGTCAGGGCTGCAGTTTGAATGTAACGTAAATGCTAAGCAGCTCAGGAAGTTTTAACAAGTCGTGGCTGCTTGAGAGACTGTGACCTTCTGCCTTGTTCCAAGTGACATATCAGAGGACAGATTACACTGTGAATATCTCACACTAATGGCCCATCAGCATTCCAGCAAGAGCAGGAGAATGGTAACCTTGTGAGTGCCTCATTGAGGGTAAAGTCGCAGCAATCTTTGTTAATGGTGTTATTTTGAATGCACTTGATGGAGAATACAGGTAGCGACTGATTAATGTCGGCGCAGTGCAGCCGGGAGCAGACAAAGGGCTGATATGTGAGGAGAGATGTAAGAGGCAAGACAGGACACAGGGTTATCTAGGGTTATAACAAGAGGGGACTGGAAAGAAGGGCTGCTCCTGAGGGGGTTCTTTTATCTGATTTGCCAGCTGATATGATTACCCACGAGGACGGCCGACAGAGCGTTACTTCATGCTGTGGCCATGGTAACAGTCACCCAAAGTGGTAGAGCATGGGAAGACAGAGTACAGCGTGCAGAGATGAATGTAGAGAGAGTGGGGAAAGAAAGCAGAAGATCTGGCTGGTAACATTTCAGAGATAAGAGCATATAGAGAGAGATTCAGAGGATCCTCTGGGAAATTAAGATCTGCTGAGCCTCGGCACAGGAAGCAATGTTGAGACTGGGTTACCAAAGCTATGTCTACAAACTATCCTGCAGGACACAGGTATAACAAGAGACTTCTGAGAGCAGACAGCACCACTGCAGGACGTTTTTGTTCCTGTGTTTTAATAGGTTTTTGAGGCTCTGTGACACGGAAGCTCAAATGTATTAGTTGGTGCTATATTCACAGATGTGTTGACTGAATGCTGAATCTTTCATGTGATCGACAGGTGGAGGCAGGAAGTGATGCCCCCTCAGAGTCTAAGGTGGACCAGAGGGTGACGTTGCCTGCAGAGAACGGACTGAGCCACACACCCATCATCGCCCCAAAACCCCCTTCACTGGTCGGCCACCAGCCCCAGTCTGCAGGTACTGTATAAATAGCCAGTCTGCAAATCCCCTCATCACAAGTTGAATGTCTGACAACTTTCTCCATCTTAATAACACCAAATCTGAGGTTATTCTCAGGTTGACAACCACTTAGGTCCACAGGCTTCCAACTTAAAGCCCTCTGCCAGATATCTTGGCGTAATATTCAACTTTAAACTAGATTTCCATGTTAGAGAGGTTGTCCAATCCTGTTTTTATCAGTTGCAGAATAGCACCAGAATCAAATTGTTTTTGTCAATCCCTAATCTGGAGATGGCTCTTCACATATTTTCTTCATATCATATCGACTATTGCAACTTTCTGTACACATGTCTCTACTGAAATTCTCTCCATTGCCCCGAATTTATACAAAATCGCCTCCTTACTCACTTTTAAGGTCCTGTATGGTTTAGCACCTCCTTATATGTCCGAGCTGCTCTCCTCTTATGGCAAACATCGTCATTGTTCCAAAGTAAAAAAAAAAAGGTGATGCGCATTTGCTGTTAGTGTCCCCAGACTTTGAAATGCCCTGCGTGAGGAGATCAGGCGTGTTGAATTGGTGCCCCAGCATAAATGATTCTTCAAAACACACTTGTACAAAGCTGCTTTCAATTCTTGATTTTGATGCTTTTATCTTTGTTTTTTGGGGTTTTCTTATCATACTTTACTTATTTACTATTAACTCTGTTTGTTTTAACTCTTTATATTGTGTTTACATTTGTGTAGTTTGACCTGTAATATTCGCTCTGCCACCTGATACTCTTTACTCCATATCTTTGATTGCTTTGCTGTGTTTTATATACAACACTTTCTAAACTGGTTTTTGAAAAGTTTTCAAGTTATTATTATTATTGTTTTTTAACTAAAATGTCTCCTGAAGTTCTTAGATGATGAAATAGAGTATTTTGTTTGCTTAAGTAAAATTCAAACCCTTAAATTTTGCACTTTTTCTCATGAAATGTTGCGATTAACTTCCTGTTGTTAATCATGATTATACATCCATAAATTATCTGCCAGTGTCCTATTGACAACAGTGTGAGGATTACATGTTGTAGATTGAAAAACACAACTGAAATAATTTAAATCAGCCTCTAAGATTATATGATGATAACAGAAAATATGTGCTTCCCTGTATCATATTTTGGGAGGGGTAAACATGGTTCAGTTCTTCATATAAATGTTAGTTGCCCCCCCTAGACCATGTTATTTATCCATGTGAAATTAATTTAATTAGAATTAGAATTTATTTCAGTCTGCAAATAGAAATAAGAACATCATGTATTAATCTACAAATTCATTTAAATAAAGTTGCAGCCTCTCACAGAAAATGGCAGATACTTATATTGTACAGTGCAAAACATTACAATAAAGTCATTTAACATAACTTCGACACTAATGCAGTCCGAAAAAGGTGAAGGCTGAAGCTACAGCTTATAACACCGACCCTTTAACAGCACATCATATTTAGCAATCAACAACGAAACAAGGCAAAACAGCAACAGACAAAATACAACACACACACACACACACACACACACACACACACACACAAAAACAAAACAACTAACAAAAGGCAGCTTACACACTTAAAGTTCCTGTGCCCTGTTCTGCTACGTCAGTAATACAGTCTGACAATCCATTTTCATATTTGATCAACATGTGAAAATACTTTCTCTGTTGTAAATACATAAATCAGAAGCATTTCAGAAACATTTATTTACATCTAACAGGCAACTCAGCATGTAAACTTGTGTTTTGTATCCAGGTTCATTGAAACCATCAGTGAAGACTGAAGACATCATTCAGAGTGTCCTCACTGGTAAGGGTCTCAAGAATATTGAGCAAATTGATTTTTGATTGATTTACTTTATGTGGTAGTGATTTATGACAGAATATTCCATTGCTGTTAAGTTTGTAAGACGAAGTAAATCTAACCCTGGTCATTATTTCAGTTGGGCTGCACAATATATTGCCTTTTTTAACTTTTGTGTTCAGGCTGATGTTTAATTTGTTCAATAAAAGAATGTCAGACATAATTTCCTTTATTTTTTTAATACGGCAAGCAATTTGTTGCATTGTATCCATGTACTGAAAGCAACAGAAAGGCAGAACTGAGTAGACTTTAATATCTGTTTATTTATTTATTGCAAGTAGTGTCATTATCGTGATATTCAACAACGGTATCATATGTTTTCCTAATATTGTGCAGCCCTAGTGTCAATAATTTGATAAGTTAGTGTCGTACAAATTAATTCAAATATTTATGTGTTGTATATACAGTTCTATAGAGATATAGTGTGAGAACTGTGTTGTTATTCATCACTCCACTGCAACTCCTAAAACTGCTGATAACCTCAGCAACCAAGCAGTTGTTAAGCAGCAACATCACGGGTGTTTATGTACTGCATTCCCAAAATATCAATATAAACTGATTTGCATTTGACAGTTAAAATAGGTTTTACAACATATCCAGTCCGTCACCTTTCCCTGTTGCTCCTTCATTCTGCCTTCAGAGTTAGAGGCTCAGACTCTGGAGGAGTTGAAGCAGCAGAAGGGTTTTGTTCGAGAGCAGAGGAAGCAGTACAAGGAGATGAAGGAGCTGGTCCGGAAACATCACCGCAAAACCAGCGAGCTGATCAAAGAGCACACGGCCCGTGTGTCCGAGCTACAGAGCCAGCACCAGCGGCGGCGCTCTGCCCTGCAGAAGAGCCACAAACGAGATGGTAAGAAAAGGTAGGTGGCCCTCCTCTTCTCCTCTTAAACTGTCCCACTGTTCATCTCTTCCCTTTGAAGTCTTTGCCTTTTGCTGTATCATCTGCACTGCAAGGCACCAAAACCACATCAACATTACTAAGAAACAAAGAGGCTTTTAGCTTTTGTTTTTCTACAACTGACTGGCAACATGTGGACCTTAGCAGTTAACATTTTAAACAAATAATGTACGAAGAGAGAAGGCTTTCTCTTTTCTCAGTCTCTGTCTTAGTTGAAAGTCATTTTGGGAATGATGTAAATTACTATCTGAGGCAATAATAGATGAGGCAGGTTCACAGAAAGTGTGAATGCCATGAAACTTAAAGGAACGGTGTGTAAGATTTAGGGGAGTTAATGGAATCTAACAGTGAAGATTTCAGATTGCAACCAGCTGAAACTTCTCCTGGTTAGAATTCCGTCATTGTTTATTGTTCAGAAGGTTTATGCCAGGAGCTGAATTATCCACAGAGGTCTCTTTCTCTCCAAAAAAAACGGACCAGGTGATTAAAACCGGTAAAAACACTGATAAAGGTAGTTTGACATTACAAATCAGTGTTTCTCTGATGTAGTACGGCTCCTCTGAGATGGGACACACGCCCAGGTCCTGCTATGTGTCCTCACCTTTTTTCTCTGATAACTTAAGATTCAGACGTTCAGGAGGTTTTACTGGGAGCTGAATCATCCGTAGAGATCTCCTCCTCTCCAAAACAAATGGACCAGGGGTCACATTTATAAACATTGCATACACACAAAACAAGGCCTGAAAGAGGCATACGCCACCTCCCATGCAAAAGTTGTGATATATAAAAACAGACTTGATGGGATGTGGGACTTTGACACACACCTTTTTTTTTTTCTTTTTTTTTTTACATACATTTTTCGTACGGGTCCTACGTACTGTTTTATAAATGAGTAGAAACACTATGTAGTAGTTGTTTCACGTTAACAAAATCTGGATTTTTTTCCGACACTGTTCATCACTGGGGCTGCTAACACGGAGGCTGACGCAAAAACATGATTAAACGTATCTAGAGCCAGTGTAGGGTTTGTCCTTTCTGGGCTATCGTAGAAACATAGCGATGCAACATGAACAGTTCTTATTTACAAGTGATTAAACACTAATGAAAACATACTTGTTATAGTGTTCCATTTCTGCCAATATATCCCCCTACATCCTGTACACTGGGCCTTTAAATTACAATGCATGGAAAAATAACTTCTTGACAACATATATTATACATACAGTGATGGCGTATGAATTTTCCTTTCTTTGTCTATTTCTTTATTTCCGTCTTCCATCTACAGAAACACACAAAACATAATTAGAATCCATTGCTGCACTTTGTGTTGCTCTAAAACAAACAGCAGAGCAGATGTCGCCCTCTTCAGAGAGAAGAGAAGGGCTGAGCTATGTGTAGAATAAGAATGAGCGGATACCTCAGAGCCTCAGGGACCCGTTCGGGGCCCTCAAGAGTCCATCAAACTCTAAAGCAGCAGTACTCAGCACACAGCAAAGATTACAGTCCTCTCAGTGTGGACCACAGAGGGCCACTACATGAGACAGATAACACATTTTAAGCAATTTACCTCAAGTTAGAAGATAAGACTTCCTCCTGATGTTTGAAGTAACGTCAGTGTTTATAGCACCAACTCCTGAAAAGTTTAATTTGATGGCCAGTGATGTCATAAGGCTTTCCATGTAAATATATGTGTTCCTGATGTTTTATTTAGATAGATTAGAAGATTTAAAGAATTCATTTTCAATGTCCAGTTATAGAATTAGTTAGGACCGCTCTGCTGAAAAAGGAGGAATCTTAACTTCTGTATGTTCTGATCATGTGTGTGGCTGTGTGTTTGTCTGCACGCGTGTGTGTCTTCAGTCGGTCCGAGCACTCTCTGTCGACCCTGGACCAGGACCTGGGTGATCTGGATCAGGAGTGCAGCCAGAGGCTTGCAGAGCTGAAGGAGCAGCAGCAGCAACAGCTCCTCACACTTCGCCAGGAGCAGTACTACAGCGAGAAGTACCAGAAACGAGAGCACATCAAGCAGGTACTCACAAACACACACTTCAGATACACACATACATATATAAACAGTAGATGTCCGGGCAGCTGGGTCGGCTAGTGGTTTAATAAACAGTAAGTGACAGGACTATAATATATCTGTTTCTGTTTTGACTTCACTTTTGAGAGACACCATATCTACACCTCTCCTGTCAACACCTGATTTCTAGTGTCCTCCTACCGGCACTACTGACAGTATGGAGTACGGGCAGATTCTTTTGAGATCTATTTGTATGCACATGCAACACTCCAGTTCACTTTAGAGCCATTCTCTTGTGACATTGCCTCATAATTACCAAATCTGTGAGAACAAACGTTAAGATTCATCTCATATCTACTCCAGACAAAACTATGCTGCTCCCCAGAGGTCCATAAAGTGTTTTATAATTATAGTTAGTATGTTCTGCTCATATATGGATTGAAGACTTGAAGCTCCATTCCACATGTCAGATGTCATGCCATGTATGTACATCTGTTATCACACTTGTAGCTAATGTCCTATAAGACTCTTCCGACCTATCACAATGCCGCATGTTCATATGAAATGTGACCAGTGTTTCAAATAATGAAGTAAACATATGTGAAAGTAATCCTTGTAAGCAAAATTCTCAGGCTTCAGACCGTTCTGAATGCTCTTTTTCCAGTGCTTATTTCTGCTTGGACCACAAGCCGAGGTCAGATTGTGGCAGGTTTCTTTATATGGTCATGTGCTCCAGACATGCAACTGCAACTGATTACATAACCTACACTGCTACATGTAGCTACTTGCTAACATCAGAGAAAAATATAATCTTGGTTGCTGATGTTGTTCATTTTTTACCCAATTTTGGATCATATTCCTGCATGTCCAAATGTGTTTAAAAGTTTTTATTGTTTATGTGTTGTTTTTTATATCGTAGAAGGTGCCGTAATACATATTACAGCTACATGTAGCTACATGCTAACGTCAGGGAAACATGTAGTCTTGGTTGCTGATGTTGTTAGTTGTGTTCGAAGAGCAGGACTTAGGAAAGGGTCAGACTGGCCAATCATTGTGTAGCATCAGCCAGCTCCAACAAGGGCCCAACAACAACACAGCTGTGCTCCATTGACTCTAATGCTCGTTTTCAGGCTGGTTTTGTGGATGTGGAGCTAAATGTTGTGTCTGGGGCATGTCATGTATTACTGATACTCGTAACCTGGAGAGGGTGGAAAAAGATATACGTTTCTTCCCTGTTCCAAAACCAAAATCAGACCCTGAAAAGTGTAGGGTTAGCTAGCTAGCTACTGAAGATATAGCCTACTGAATGTATACACACACTACAGGAACCAGTGAAGGGAAGCAGGGAAACTTTGCGGATAGTCAACCAGCTGGGTCCGTGTGCTGGCAGCGAAGCCAAACGCTGTTCATCTGCACACACTGCAATGCCACACAGCTGGTTCAGTATCAGCAAAGTTTCCCTTTATATTCATTGTCTTGTGTGGCGATCAGCAGTGATGTGGTGGTTCACTTGTACACTGTGATCTGTAGTTCGGCTTTAGCTTCTAACTATCTTTGTCTTTTTTAACCTGTTGTTGCTGCTGAGTCAGTTTGACATCCTGGATATATCCTTCAAACACACACTGTAGACCCCTCTGTCTGCTGCCCTCTGACAACACTCTTTCATTTCTCCAAAAATATGATGATAATATTTCTTCAGGGAGTGCAGTTAGTGACAGTGTGGATTTTGGATCATATTCTTGCTGGAACTGTCTAGTTGTGAAGATTTTAATTTTGAAATTTTAATCTTTGACTTTTCTCACTAGAAAATGCCACTATACTCTGTTGAAGTCATTTCACCGCTGCAATGACAATGCAGAGGCACCGAGTTGTAAATGCTGACCAGTCTGAGGAGACAGGGCTTTTTTGGGAGAAGTCTTCAAGAGACAGGCCTTAAATGTTGAATATGGGCCCTCCAGCACAGACTGTATGAAGAAAATGAAGTGTTTCTGAACATTAAAGCATGTAAACAAATACATATATCTGAACACAAGTATGAATAGGTCCCTTTCGAGTCTTATTGATTATATAAAAATACATAATGTTGAAGTATGTACAGTGGGATAGACAGGCACACATATGTCTCACAGATACAAGAGCTTTCAAAGACTTGTGTTGGACTGTCCTAAATCTCAGAAAGGCTAACACAGACTAATGACTGAACAAATGAATGAGTGAATGTTGCTGTCAACTTCAGGTGACCCCCCCCCCCCAGAATATTACAGCCATCATTCTGCTGCCTGTGCACATGTTCTGTTGTATGGTGTGGAAAAATGAATGTCTTCTGCTCCAGTGCTCCTGCACAGTGAGCACAGCTGAGGTGTCAGGAAGGGTTATTCAAGCAAAAGACAACAAGCGTAATGGAGATAGGGTTGTTTCCCTGATCTGAGCGTTGTTTAATTATGAGCTCAGCGAATGTAGCTTGAATTAAAGTGACTAAAATAATCACGAATCAAAAGCAGGTGTCTCACTCTCTTTACTTATGACTCTCTCTTTGTGACTCTCTGTCTCTGTAGCTGGTTGAGAAGCTGACCACGATCGCAGAGGAGTGCCAGAGTGCTCAGCTCAAAAAGCTCAGAGACATCTGTGAGAAGTAAGACTCTGTTCAACACACACATTCATACAAGCACAAACCACTCCTGTAATTTCAGAGATATATATTGTATCTTCCTCTCCGTCTCACCATCTGCAGAGAAAAGAAGGATCTGAAGAAGAAAATGGACAAGAAAAGACAAGAGAAGATCAATGAAGCCAAATCTAAAGACAAGAACATGACAGAGGAGTGAGTATCTCATTTTGGAACGTTAATTGTTATATTTGTACGACCACTAGATGTCAGTACACACCAAAGATTCAGGACTGGTTGACTTGATTAAATTCTCCCCACAGAGAGAAGCTGGAGATCAACAGATCGTTTGTCAACGAAGTGGTGCAGTACATTAAACGGGTAAGAGAGGATATGGTCTATAGCCCATAATAATCACCAAATGATATGCCATTAGTGTCATACTGTGGTTAAAGACATGTGATTTGACTCAAAACATCATTTAAATTTCACTCCTACAATACGCCTCTACCTGCAGTGCTAAATAATTGTGACATGGTGATATATTATTGATGATATGCAAACACCTTATAGTGTCTGTGTTTGTTTGTTTGTGTGTAGTTGGAAGACGCACAGAGTAAAAGGCAGGAGAGACTACTGGAGAAGCACAAGGACATCCGCCAGCAGATCGTGGACGAAAGGCCAAAGGTAAGACCTTCATCAAGACAACGTAAATGAAACTCAAATGTGGAATAACTCTGGATGTGGGATGTGTTTGTTGATTCTGTACACTCTGATATTTTTCATTAATTCCATCACATTGTCACCACAGCTTATTTTTTAAGTTGCTGGTCTGTTGCATGGCAGGATCCACAGTCAGGGAGTCCAGGGTGCACGGCTCGGCATGTCTTTGAATCCCCGCATGCACAAAAACAATGTAAAAAGACATTTTCCCAGTATTGACTGGTGCGGCTACAGATGTTGAAACAGCAATAAACATCTTAAATATTAATATTTTTTAATAAATATGTTAAGGCTTTTATTCAGTGGTGGAATGTAACTAAGTACATTTACTCAAGTACTCTACTTAAGTATAATTTTGAGATACTTAACTTGAATATATCCATTTTCTGCTACTTTATACTTCTACTCTGCTACATCTCTGAGGGAAATATTGTACTTTTTACTCCACTACATGTATTTGATCATTTTAGTTACTTTTCATATTCACATTATGAATACAAAATAACAAAGCTAATAAAACATGACATATACACAGCGATATAATAGCTATAATAGCAAATTATATAATATTATATATAATATATAATATAATAAAAACATTAAAACACAGTGTGCAATGTGTGTAGATATTACACATGATCATTGTTTGTTTAGTGTTCTTACAGCCCAGAGAAAGAAACTGTTCATTAGTCTACAATTATAATCCAAGAGTACGATATATATCAATCTGAAATGGACCTTTTTTACATTATGAGTACTTTTACTTTTGTCACTTATACTGTACTTATGTCAGTGTTCCCTTAAAGAGTCTTAAAAGGCATTGCATTCATTAATCTTAAAATAAGACCTTAATTGGTATTAAAACGTCTTAATTCAATCTTTCAAAAGTCTTAAAATACTCAGACATGGTAGGCAGGATTTTATGAATTGAATTTTTGACATTGCATCGTAAAATCTTTTATATGTATTTTTAAGTTTTGGTCATTTTAAAATTGGTCTTTTTTTAATTCTTAGTGGCATTTAAAAAGTCTAAAAAAGTCTTAAATCTAACTTGCTTTAAACTGTAGGAACTCTGTTGTACTTTTACTCAAGTAAAATTTCAATGCAGGACTTTTCCTGTTATAAAAGAGTATTTCTACTTTACTTAAATAGAATATCTGAGTACTTCTTCCACCACTGCCTTTTACTGGTTGGTTAGTCTATTAAAACTTAGACTTTACACAGCTTTAGGGTCAGTATTTTACTTTCTAGAACACTGAAGGACAACATGGATGTTTCATAAGCCGTGGTCAGAAACATAACTTCAGTTTAATGTGACTAAATGTCCTTGAACTGAACTTTATCTCTAACTGAGCACTTGCTGTCGATTTCCACCACTGGGGGGCAACCTGGCCCAGGTTTAGTGAGATATGTCTGCAAAACTGCAAGATGACCTCTAAATACAAAATCTTTGTCCTGATCTGAGCATATGTCACCCCTGGTTTGAAACCAATCCCTGCTGTGCTGTTCATGGTTGCATACAGTATACACAGAATGTGAAAGAGTTGTTTGGTTGTATATTAGTGAAAACTGCCTTGTAACATACAGTCGAGCTCCCTCACTGCGGCTGCATCAGTCCTTGGCTTTTGTTAGTAAAGCATTTCTACAGTCAGGATGCCTCTCTGCTTTATGCTGCACATACACAGATTTATTATGAGGTGGATGCTTGAGTGTGCCTACAGGAGTTTTAGCATGGCTGCTTTTTCCTATATGAGTTGCACAGATCCAACTTTGTCATTGTGACTGTCATTGTAGGACGACTGTGCAGCTGAAGAGCATGGTAAGACCATCATTGCATCCCAGTGTTCAGCATTAATATAGCATCAGTGTGGCAGTATTAATATGCAAGCTTTTATACACCTGGGCCTCAACAAGTGACTGCACATTGCATCTCTGTAACGGCTGAGACCTGCCGAGCATTACTACAGTGCAGATGACTGAATGAATATGTGCTCTTTTTTTTGGACAAATACAGCGGGGTTGTATTGTTGAGAATTCCGGTGTAATCTGCATAGCATGGAAGCATAAATATTTAATAGGGACAGCAGATTGGCCTGTGTGTAGTGAGATCACACCCCAGTCAGAGAGCTCGTATTTGCACATGGCGATGTCCTTGAGGAAGATCATAGAAACCAACCTCAAGGAAAGAACTTCACCACTCTGGGTTACCAAGGAGGTATATTAAATCAACCTTGACAGAATGTTTTATGAGAAGGAAACTGTAAATGTCTCAGGCTCTGCTAGCTCACAATGTTGCACAGGATCTCTGGATCCCATCACAAGGAACAGTTTGTAGTATTAATCAATTATACTAATTATAGGCGTGTAGCTTGTCACAATTAGAGATGAAACAGTTTGAAAATGTCACGTCACAATTATAGACTATTTCAAAATTGACAACTTACGCATTTTAATTGGATCCAAGTGTATCTTCTGTCAGAGTGTTTTGCTGTGTCTCGTATCGGATACTTCCATGAGTACATTCGCATGCAGTACACTGCACACACTGTGTTCTTATTTGCATAATGCACATATTTGACAGGGTAGTGTTGTCTCAGATCAAACACGTCTGTTGCACACTTAACAGACATGACAGTCACAAGATTTGACAGGTTTTCTTCTTCTACTTGCAAAGTGCAAGCGGGCGGAGTATAGAGCGAGTTTTTCTGTAGTCTGACGCAGAAGTTAGCTTCATCCTGGTTCCTTCATCAAAAAGCCTATGGTATGTTTTTTATTGGATTTTGGGTTATTGCAGAAAATAAACTATGTGACAAACTAACATTAAGGCTACTTTTATGTTTTGCTCAGCAACATAATCTTCTGAAATCAACCACTTTCATGATCATTAGCATAAAGACGCTGTCATGCAGTGGTCGGCGTGATGAAGTTCTGCAGTCGCATTTGGCCACTTGTTAGCAATCACCTTTTTAAGACCCATTGAAGCTTTAAAATGCACGAGTGGGGCATTTACTGATGTATTTTATGTTGTAGAACAAAACGTGGAAGTCTCTTAAGCTTTTGTTAAACACGAACCTTATTTCCTCTAACCAAAAATCCATTGACTTTAAGACGAGGGAACCCTGAGTGCTAAAATGCTAACTCATTTCCAGGTTTAGGACTCATTCCCTGGCTACTCTATGATCGCCAACATTTGACAAACAGTTGTCACTTGCTGAAATATATGCTGGCTATATCTGCTTGTTTGCTCACTTGTCTTCTTCTGTATTTTTTTATTTATTGTATCAAAAGGAATGTGTTCTCATGGCACCTTATGACATTCTGCGGCTGATACTGGCTCCGTCAACAGCTGATCTACCAGGTTAATGATAGCTTCAGCATTTTGTGAATATTTACAACTTGTCAAGCATCTGATGATCAATCTAATATTTAAATCTTCTGCAGTGAAGATGACAACTTGACATGCATTAACACCAAAGGTAACTAATGTTACACCCCAAGACCGTGTAGTTAAGACACAATACATGTAACATCAATGTCTGATGATAAAATGTGCTACTGTTAGCTAGCTCACAAGCTTGCATTGGCATTTGCATTATTGTTTGCACTAACAAATGATTACAGAGTTAACGCAATAAACCAACTGATGGCTTCTTTCTGACAACAGTACTATGGTAGTGAAAAATACACATGTATTTTAGTACAATGCTTCAGTATTCACCACAGTAATTGGCCGGTAATTCCACAAGTTTATCATTTGTTGCGCTGCGTTCAAATTGGGTCGTGTTTACTATGTTCATGAGAGGGATGAACGCCCCCCTGTTGTGATATTCACAGCCTCGTAAAGGGAAATTTTCTAAAAGCTCCACGTTCTCGACTGCATGTACACGACTTATCATGTCACAGGAGCTCACAAGTTCTGGTTGAAAGCACCATTTGTGATCCCGCCCCTTCCACTACGTGGGGAACATGGCGATCATTTAGGGTGAGAAGTGTCCAACGTTCCTCAGCTACATTTTTGACCATTGTGAGTGAACCAACCACGTGCTGAGAGTGCACAGCATTTTACCATACTTCACAGTGTGAACGCACTCATGCACTGAGAATACTGAAAAGTGTGAGTACTGAAGTGTGCGATTTGAGACATAGCATGTGTGAATGCAGTAGCTGACAGGAAGTAAACTGGGACCATCAACGATCTATTGTGACGATGAAATGATCAATCAGTATTTTCACAGTGTTGTTAAAATGTGCTAAAAATGTCCACAAATACTGTTTAGCTGTAAAATGGCCGCCATGTTGGAATAGTACACTGAAGTACCAAGCACATTGGCTGGACCAACTTCCTCCTTTGAAAGCTAAACATTACACTAAAACATGTTTCTGTTTCAGTGAGATCAGCACTGCCTACTTTGACAATTTGACAGCAGCTCACGAGCAGTCACTGACATGATTAACGTCACAGACTCTTCAGCTCTGATTGGCCATTAGAAACGCTGCGAGGCAGTAGAGTATTACTCATATCATATTATTATTTCTTTTACAGGTAATCTGTCTCATTTAGTGCTGTGTACGGCAGTGACAGTCTCAGCAAATAACAGAAGAGCTTTACCATTAGAGACAGCCTGTCTTTGAAATGTTCAAGTGTCTGTGTCACTGTAGATGAGGACAAGGAACCAGTAGCATCTCTGGGTTTGCCTGCTGCACGCCCACTCTGTAAACAAGGGAACAGAAAAACAAACCCACGGTGCATGCTGCGCCTGCGACTGGGAGACTGTTGTTAACTCGGTTTGATGCTGGACAGTATTTATCCTGAGTTTACCCTGAGAAGTATCAATCACATGAGGTTTCAATGACAATTTCATTATGAAACCTGGAATTTAACTGCAGTTTATCGTGACACCTGTGACTGTTTCATCCCTAGACATGATTACAATGCCAATATAAAATCACTAACGACTGTACTA